ACCCAAAGAACTTAACTATTACTTTTATTTCAATTTCTTAGTTTTAGTGAATATCCCATTTAGGGAGTTAGCTATTACCATTTACCGTAGGTTTTATGGTAAGACCTGAACCTCGGACCGAATTACATTTTCGTTTTGATGTCCCCAGAGGCCAAAGACACCATTTTATCAAATTTATTTGTGTCTATTAGCAGGATAACTCGTTTGTGAAAGTTATCAGATTTCAAAGAAATTTGGTACAACGTGTAAACTCACATTTTACGAGTTAGTCAACTAGTGTGATAAGATGATGAGGACAAGGGCTAAAAGGAGGGATTTCTCATTTTGTCCCCCAAACATTCTGCAACTTCTTTTTACACTTGTCTGTAGATCTATTAACATTTTATTCTTGATTTTCATTTTATTTTTAACCAAATTCCCGAAGCTTTGTACTAAGGGACACATTGTATATTTTTGAATTTGAACTGAGGGTGTTTTTGGCCTCTGAGAACCTCAGGTCTTGCCATCAGAGGGACCCACGGTAATAGTTTATTTCCTACATGAGATATCGTTAAAATGACAAATTAACTTGTTAATCATTATTCTGGTGTTCACTTTATTTTGTCTGTGCTTTAGTGCTATTTATTTATTGTTTTTGTATTATAATTTGTAACAATGTAGTAATTGGTTTTTTGTTTAAACTGTTTGTAGCTAATTCAACCTATATTTTATAATTAATACCATGAAATTAATAATTTTATGATCTGCCAACTTTTTTGTCCTAAGACTCTAGGTTCTAGAATGGATCTTCTGCCTACTGGTAGTGTCAAAGATGTAAATGTCCTTCAAGGATTTAATTTTATTTGATATAGTACATATTGTGTTATATATTTTATGATATTAAAGATCTAAGAATGTAGTATGACTTTGACTTGATAAATTGTTGATGTTGTCTTTTTCACATTTGCATAAAAATTGAGAGACAATAACTTATGTATCCTATCCTGGTTAGGAAATAAAAATGTAATTAGTTAACTAAAAAAAATAGTTTGATTGCAATACTGAATATTGTTCTGTATGTTCATTAGCAAATGTACATAATAAATCATTAATTGTGAATTCTTTCTGTTTATCTGGGCTAGTAATTGATTAATTTTACTATAGGATATATTGTTTATTTACAGGCTCTATACCTTGCTGTAAAGAGATTTTACCATGGGAATCATCATGCTAATTGGGAAAGTAAAGCCATCATCAGAGTTGTTTTTTTTTTTACATACCATAATTCACATGCCAATGAGGTGAATTGTGTTTTTTTATTCATTATAAAATGATAAAGGGACTTAAGAAATGAGTGTGTGGGGATTTTAATTTACAACTAATTAATAATAATTTTCTGCCACTGAGTAAGCTAATTTCCATTTGTCTGATTTGATTATTGTAAAATACTTCTGTCATAATTAGTCACTATTTAAGGATTTAGATTTGCTCAACAGAATAAGAAATAGTTTTACTAAAATAATAATACCAAAGTATGGTTTGAGTTTGAAATAAATATTCTTTCCAAATTTAATCAAAATCATCCATAAACAACTTATCAGCACATTATGTTATTTATTCCCCTATTGGTCTGATGACGATTTGAGTAAGCAATCGAAATCAATCACTACTATCATCTTTCATATATTTACCATCTTGTAAAACAGTAGGCCTATTTAAGTATAAATATATACATATTTCAAGTGTTATTAGGTGTATTTTTATTTACTTTCCATATCCCTAAACAAGCAAATAATAACAGTTTAATTTCTCCCCATAGTAAAACTTTATATATAGTCTACAGGTTATTTTTTAAATTTCTCTGTAGTCTTTGGCTGGTAGACTATTTTAAAGAATAAATAACAAACTTTAACAGATAAAATGACAATATAAATAATATACAATTTTATAAACAAATAGGTAGACGTAGATAGATCTTCGTCATTGGGGGGGATATCAGGGGGTCTGAAATAGCCCCCAGGAAGAACCCGTCCAGGGGTACTCCCCCGAAAAAAAATTGTTTAAAAAATAACTTCTCTAGCGGATAGACGCACTAAAACAAATCATTCTAGTAAAAGGTTATTTAATTTACAGAGAATAGTTTAGTGTAATCCACTAGATTGAAATCAGAAAAAAACTATTATTACCTAGGTTGCTAGGATAACTAAAATAATAAACAAATGATTAAAATAAATACAGAACATATGGTGTTAGTCGGGGCATAGACAAAAAGAATGAAATATAGACTGTCAGCCGTGCTGCGGTTGCCATGGTTACCATAGGTTCCGGCGCACACCGCTGTAGTTTACGTAGCGCGTACGCCGTAACTACGGTGGTGTTCCAAGCGGTGTGCGCCAGAACCTATGGTAACCACAGCACAGCTGACGGTCTATATTTAATTCTTTTTGTCCATGGTCGGGGTCACCATTTCTAGCGGATAGACCAAGGCCACACTAAAAAATCAAATTCATCTTTACGTTTTTTAATCCTTGGGTTGGCCGGTAGAATGACCTCTACTGCCATAGCACAATTATCCTGAGTCGTAAACAAGGGAGTCTAAAAATGGAAACAATCCAAATATCGAAACATATTCCTCAAGTTCTGTGGTCGCTGTTCTAACCTAATCACGTAAAAATTACCTAAACTCAATTGCTTAGGAAATGTATTCTTACTAGTTGCTCTACCCGTGCTTCGCTACGGGGTGAGGATACAGAAACGAATAATTCGGTTTTACTTTGAGATACTATAAGAAACAGTTACAACACACATACCAGGAAACATATAGGCAAAGGCTCAATCGTGCTTATTGATTATTCAAATGAAGATCTCTCAATGTATTACAATACTATCATTTTATATAGTGTATAGCATTTAAAATATATATGCTAAAGTATAATTCATTAACCACATGGAACCAAGAAACAATTCTCCTTGTAAACAAATTAAATTAAATAGCAGAACAGCATTTCTGACAACAGCTGAAGTTTCATAACAATGTTTGTTTCCCATGTTAATGTTATGGAGAAATATGAAACTTTAAAGGGCCCCAGGGCCTCATTCTTTAATTATTTAGCTAAAAAGAAAGTTTCCTGCACAACTTCACATTACGCTCTTTCCAATGACACCAAAATCATGTAAATCGGTTCAGTAGTTTCGGAGGAGTAATTGTCACAAAAAACTTGCTTGCGTATTAAATAAGTACTAGAGGTCGCCCAGTGGTCGAAACTCGACCAAAAATATGTAGGTAGGCCTACAGTTGGATTTTCTTTTAGCTAGAAGTGGTTGAGGTACCTATTTACATTCTTTCAAAATGTAAACATGGAAAATTTGCGCATGAGGCGTAGCCCAAGGGAAATATAAAAATTAAATGATATAATATTGCATTGTCATCCATTTGTGAGCTATGTTTCAAATTTCAAGTCTTTAGCTAATCAGGAACTTCATTTAAAATTGATATAAAAATTTTTTGAAAAGCGAGCATGTTTCAAGTTTCAAGTCTCTAGCTCATCGGGAAGTATCAAAATTTGCAAGAAAGCGAGATAATAAAAACAAGCCCATGGGGCGTAGCCCAAAGGAAATATGAAAATTGAATGATATAATGCATTGTCTTCCATTTGTGATTTTCAAGTCTCTAGCTCATCGGGAAGTTAGTATAAAATTGACTGCAACATTTGTACCGGACAAGAAAGCGAGCTAATAAAAACTCTTAAAATAAAAGTTACCTTACCTAACTGTTGGTAAGTTAACCAACATCAACCAAGCTCTATTAATGTATATAATTTTTTTTATAAGAATCTACAAGCTACTAGTTTTAAACTCGTGTCAGACAAATTCTTTAAAATGGTTTACATCTTGACCTGTGATTACACTAATGATTTTCCCTACAATCCATATTGGTACCTGATGAAAAAGTACTGCATTGATTCAAGAGTCCCTGCAGGAATTCATTTTAACAGTGGGTGGCAGTCCTGTAATGAAAATATGTTACACTAAGGTTACAAATAATTGTTAATGCATTGTATATATTAGATCCATTCCGATTACACTAGTAGTAACCCTCCAATCCAAACTTGATTACACCAAACCCTAAGGGGTAGACAACATTGTTTGGATTAGCTGTTAATGAAGTAAAATCATGTTAAACAATTTAAACAGTCTAGTATTTTTGTCTTAAAATGGTCGCTTGTAGCTCCCACAATGATCACATTCATCTACCGTGATTGTTTCTTTTTACCATTCGACAACCTTTAACAAGAACCAACAGACCTGCTGTAATGAATGCTGGACACTTGCCCATAGACTTTAAGCGGTTATTCAAAATTTCCCAGCTCCAAAATAATCAACATATTACAGCTTATGTTCCTTATCTTCATAGTTCTCTTACAGTTGTCAGTTTCTTAGTGGCTGGACGCCCTAAAGTTTTAGTTGTAGTGTTTCTTTTGTCTTAAATAGGCACAGCAAGTTCTCCGCAACAGGGTGTTTGGATTTGAGGTTTTTGTATTGGTTTGCGGGATTTGATTTTCAAAGTTGTGCATGACGGCAAATCCCTGATTTTAAGTCATAATGATATTCTTGAGCTTGTAGAAATTATTGAAATATTGTAAAATAATTGAATAACCCATGCGAACGGATAAATACATGTTTTTAATTAGGTATGATCTTTTTCAGAAGGGAAAATAGATGAGTTCAGACTCATACAGTTACTATCATAGATATAGATTAGTTCTTATAAAAAAAAATCTTTTTTAATCACATGAAAACAATTTAAGAATTAAGATCGATGTTCAGGCAACTATCTAGATAATCCCTGATGTAATACTTTGAAGAACCCTTATAAATTGTTTCTTTCCCCTACAAAAATTAAATTAGTGATAATTAATTCGTTCAAACTAGAATTTAAATTATATGGAATATTTTTGTTGTAGGTTGAGACAGTCAAAGGAATCAAAACTACAGAATATATTTATTTAAGAATTGATATAATACAGTAAAAGAATACAAAAAGACGAGAGAAAAAGACTTATCACTCAAGTATATTGAAAATAAGCACAGGCAAAGCAAGATTTGACTACGAGAAGATTTAATGTTGAATGAGAGATTAGCCTATCATGAGGTTAGCCTACAAACAATGTTACTATTTAAAATACATACAAACCACTCTGATTTGTTGAGTTTATTGATTAGTTACTAGATTTATGTGATAAACTACATGGAAATAAAAAGTGCAAGAGTAGAAATGTTAACTCACACTAAACATTTTCCCAACTATTACAAGTGTCCAATATGTGAGCAACGCTGTACAACTCTATACACAATGAAGGATCATATATTATATCACACAGGAGAGCGGCCCTTTAAATGTTTACTATGTGAACAAACGTTTTTGAAACGATATAAGGTAACGCGACATTTATTGTCTCATACAGGAGAGAGACGTTACAAGTGCTCTACATGTGGAAAATCCTTTGCAGACAAAGGTAATATGAAGAAACATTTATTGATTCATACAGGAGAGAGGCGTTACAAGTGCTCTACATGTGGAAAATCCTTTGCAGACAAAGGTAATATGAAGAAACATTTATTGATTCATACAGGAGAGAGGCGTTACAAGTGCTCTACATGTGGTAAAACCTTTGCATTAAAAAGAAATATGAAGAAACATTCATTGGTTCATACAGGAGAGAGACCTTACAAGTGCTTTACATGTGGAAAATCCTTTGCAGACAAAGGTAATATGAAGAAACATTTATTGGTTCATACAGGAGAGAGGCGTTACAAATGCTCTACATGTGGAAAATCTGTTACAACCTTAGGCAGTATGAAGACACATTCATTGGTTCATACTGGAGAGAGACCTTACAAGTGCTCTTCGTGTGGAAAATCCTTTACAACCTTAGGTAATATGAAGAAACATTCATTGGTTCATACTGGAGAGAGACCTTACAAGTGCTCTTCATGTGGAAAATCCTTTACAGCCTTAGGTAATATGAAGAAACATTCATTGGTTCATACATGAGAGAGACCTTATAATTGCTCTACATGTGGATCATTAACAAACTTAGGCAGTATGAAGAGACATACATTGGTTCATACACGGGAGAGACCTTATAAGTGCTCTACATGTGGATCATTTACAACCTTAGGCAGTATGAAGAGACATACATTGGTTCATAGACGAGAGAGACCTTATAAGTGCTCTACATGTGGATCATTTACAACGTTAGGCTGTATGAAGAGACATACATTGGTTCATACAGGGGAGAGGCCTTACAAGTGCAAGAATTGAATTTAAAAAAATGAAAAACCCTTTATAACCAACGGCAAAATGAAGATGTGGATCTAGATTGCAATACTGAATATTGTTTCGTATTAGCGAATTTCCCTATAGGGAAGTAGCTATTACCGTAGGTCTCATGGTAAGACCTAGGCCCGGGACCGATTTACTTTTTCATTTTGATGTCCCCAGAGGCCAAAAACACCATTCGTTCAAATTTTTATATATCTATATATAGAGATATATATATATATATATATATATATATATATGTGTCCATCCGCACGATAACTTGAGTAATTTTTGTCCGATTTTGATCAAATTTGGTTTGAAGGTGTAAGGCGGGATAAACTTGAACGAGTTCGCGAACCAGCATGATCGGACTATGGGAACGGGGGTTTACAGGGGGTTTTATGGGGTAAAAATAGGTTTTTCCCATTTTTGACCCAAAAAACATAAAATTTAGCAATTTCTTTCCAAACCATTTTGTAGACCTTAAAAAAACAAATAATTTAGTATATTGAAGTGTTACTATGCGCCTAATGGTTACGGAGAAAATTCCCAAAACATTTAAATTTTAAATTCCCATGTTATTCTTATGGAGAACAAGTAAACTGTTGTAGTTTGCTTGTTTATGAACATATTTTGATCAAATTTGGAAAATATTTTTATTTCTTACTAACTATTAACATTTTACAAAAAAAATAAGTTTTACCCTCCCTGATGCAGCAAACCTAAGTACCTGTTAAACTAATTCTATTTAAATAGGAAATAAATGTTCAATTTTTAAGTAGACATTTTAGTGTAAATCCAATCAGGCAAATGGAAATTCGCTTAGTCTGCAGGTTTGCTGCGGCGGGGGTATTTTCATTACAAAATGTACATAATATACTAGTTATTGTGAATTCATTCTGTTGCTCTGGGCTAGTAATTATCTTAAATATTAAAAAAATTTGGTTTTTCTTTTCCGAGTTCGTTTGGCTCTTCTACCCGACCGATTTTCATGATTGAGGTTTCAAGTTGAAGGTATGCACGCACAGATTTGCCATCAAGCATCGGCGTTGAATTATCTTTAGTCTCACTCGGTTTATACGTAAACGAATATTGCTCTCTATGTGTTTCTTATGGGAGTTAAATTTGGTTTCTCTTTGCCGAGTTTGTTTAGCTCTTCTACCCGACCGATTTTCATGATTGAGGTCTCAAATTGAAGGTATGCACGCACAGATTTGCCATCAAGCATCGGCATATAATTATCTATAGTCTCACTCCAATAAGTCAAATTTAGTCGGGGTGCACTTCATTTTGCCTGATCTTACAACTAAAAAATGTTATAAATTTAGGTTATTTGTAGTCCTAGTCCTTGGTATGGTTTGATAGGGAATTACAAGTGCTAATTTACAATTGACATTTTTTTATAAAATTATCCATTTTTGACTTATTTAAGCTACAAAAATTAAACGGCAGCCATTTTCAATTTTATAATCGGACCAACTTTTTTTTTATACTGTAATAGTTTTTGTGTACATTAACATTCTTACCAAGTATCATAATCATCGGGTGAAAAACTTCAAATATAAACAAATGACAGATATCTAGGTAAATATGCATTTTCTGATATAACTTCAAATAATAAACTTTTTTCTTCCTTTTAATATGAGGATTCATATCCCAAAGTCCTGAAACGTTTTTTATGGACACCTTGTATATATTTGAATTCCTTATTAAATTCTGAATCACTTGGTGCATTGCAAGTCCCATGCATCTATGATTTTTTTGCTTAAGTCATAGGACTTTGAAATTTTGTTATGAAAAAGGTTCATTTTGAGAAAAACAGAAAAACTATTCTGAAAATTACAAATATGCATTAAACAGTTTTTTCGTATTTAAGGAACGATTTTGGTATCAATAGAAAGCTTATAATGTCCTCTTTGGAGGCAATACTAATTTTTGTCTTAACTCACGGTAGTTTTTTATTTAAATAATTGTTTTATTGAAGCATGTTGTAAAAATCACATTTCAGAAAAGGGACCTCTTGTCAGCCCTATTTTATTTCTCCATAAGATAAAAAAAGGTACCTCTTGTCGGGACCGCAACATTTATGAGATATTTTGTTCTTCGTAAACTGAACTTTGTTGTAGTTCTCTAAATTTCCAAAAGAATGCAGGACATTTCATTTTTTGGACTAAAGTCTGTTTATAAAGTGAATATTAGAAATGGGACCTCTTGTTATGGCGAAATAACATTGAGCGACAAGATGTACTTTTCTCAGACCATGCAGAGGCTAAACAAATTATTTATTTTGACCTTTTACATCTTCAATTCCATATTTTAACCGATACTGTCCTTGTCTATGTTAAATGAGGTATAACAATCGATAAAAACCAGAGTTTTGATATTTTCTAACTTATATCGGCCGTACTTAAAATTTGGCATCCCCTTTTTAGAAATCATATTTATTAAAAAATACTTGTTTAGACAATTAATTATGTTGCTATGACATTTTAAGAAATAACCAATTCAATAACAATTAAAGTAAATTAATAAATAATCTTAACTTTTAACTAAAATGATTTCAAAAAGGGTACTCAGTTATTCATTACAGTTTGTGTTCTGATATATACACATATAAATAGTATGTACAGTATGAATGTATATGAATTTCAACGGATGGTGTTTTTAGCCTCTGGGGACATTGGTCCTGGGTACAGGCACAGACCAAATATAAAAATATATTCATCATGTATCCAAATATACCCTAACTCAATTAGAATAAATATAGAGTCGCCACTCCTATACCTCCAGCTATACCAGTAGTGAAGCCGATTTCCGCCATCTTGGTAAGAGAGTACTTGGGCTTCGGTACTTGGAAAACACGGCGTCATTACCACTGTGTTATTCTATGCTACTTTATGAATTAGATGAAGCTACCGCTCCAAGGATACATATAGAACTATCCCCCCTTCAAAATTTTCCTAGGACTCTGCCCCGCGGGCTTTCAAAGTTCTGAGGTGAGAGTTTTAAAAGTAAATATTGATTGGTGGTTTCCATGGTAACAATATAATGGTTTAAATGTAAATTCAGACCGGGCCGGCCGCCATCTTGGTGCGAGAAGCCTGCTTCACCCCAGACGGCAAGTGCTGCCTCTATATTTATTCTATGCTCTGTGGGTACAGGTCTTACTATGAGACCCATGGTAATAGCTTATGCCTTATATTCTCTAATTAGGGAAAATTCTTTAATTAGTAATGGTTAATTTCCTTAGAGATATATTACTTATAATAACCATTTATAATAATGGAATATAATCAACTTTATGCAAAATTTGGGATATAGAGAGGGAAAGAAAACGACTCAATAACAATAAATATATTTGATTCAGTAATTAACAAGCCACTTGGCCTCCAAGCATAATGGTACTCCAGATCTAAAAAAATATCATATGGAACTAATGATCACAATATAGGTAGTTCAAAAATTTGTATTTAATCATACACCCAGGGCCGTCCCTAAGGTTTGCGGCGCCCGGAGTAAATGTGGTCGTGGCGCCCCCCCCCCCCCCCCCCCAGTAGTAGTCGCATTCGCATGTTTTTATACTATGTTAATTAGGGGTGCACGGGATTGAACTTTTAATTCGGGACGGGACGGGATTTTTTCATGTGCATAAAAAGTCTTGAGTATTGCAGTTAGGTACCAAAAAAGACAAACGAAATCAATTTTACAATTTGTGGCACTGATCTATCAAAAGCAAAAAAGGGTAAAAATTTACAGGTATAGAAACTTGTGACTCGCGGTCGAAATGTCTCGCCGTCACAGCGTTATCATCGGTATGACTCGCGGTCACAGCGTGATCGTCGGTATGACTCGCGGTCATGGCGAAATCGGCGGTATGACTCGCGGTTACGGCGCGAATGTCTGTTTGACTCCGCGGTCACAATGCAATCGTTGGTATGACTCCGCGGTCACAGCGCGATCGTCCAAATGACTTGCGGTCACGGTGCGATCGTTGTAATGACTTTGGCTCCTGCGTTTGTGGAATTACCGTGAACATCTCTCGCGATAGCAGCGTCATTTTCACTCGCGAAGCGTCAAAATTGACGATGATCGGATCAAATCCCGTCCCGAAAATCGGGAATATTTTTTCCCGAAAATTCCCTGAAATTTCGGGACCTGTGCGTTGATACCTATGGCCGCTGCGCGGCGCCCCCTTAGCCAAGGCGCCCCCTCAGCCGCGGCGCCCGAGGCAACTTGCCCCGGTTGCCCCCCCCTTCGGACGGCCCTGCATACACCAAAAATCTGTACACAATCATCTCCTTGGACACATTTTTTTTACATTAATAAGTTTTTCTTACGATCTTTTGCCAATACAATGGTGTCAAATATTCGAGATTCATTCGTCCAAAATTCTGTGTTAACTTAAATCTCTCTCTGCAAATGATTGATTACGGAACCATGAAAACACAAACTATTTCCGTGTGATATAAGTGTACTGTACAATGTGTTGGAGTGGCCCCTTTTTCCCTTAAAGAAAGTTTGATGATAACAATTTCAAAGTAAATACTCTGTCTTTTAATTACAAAATGACTCCTTCAGTTTTTAAATACCGAGAAAAAAATGTATTAATAAAAATAAATACATCTGCCTTAAAAAAAGGTTGCCAATGACACAGAAAAAAATGCACACATAAAATATTGAAGGATTAATTTAACTGATGAAGGCAAGAATTATTATCATAGGAATATGATATATAAATATATAAATTGATATATTTGCATCATTGAAACTTATTGAAGATGTTTTACTGATTCTTTTTCAAGCAGAATGTGTTTTTAATTTAGGCTAAGCACAACAAGCATTTGAACAGATTATGTTACGCTTACAACTTCTCTCTGAACAAATTGCTGGTAATCTTTTCATACCCTTTTCCATCAAAGAGGAATACACAAAATATTGGAGAAACATGTTGATTTCAATCATAAATCACAAAGCAATTTCTGAAACTGTTCTATTAATTCCTTGTTTTCTGTCAGATGTTTTGAGACTCTGAAAAGAGAAAAACATGCGTTATTAATTTTTTAATGACTGTTGATAGGAAAAAATCAATTAAAGCTAAACCATGAAACATCTAAATTGTAAAACTCTTGCGGTCGCACAGAAATGATGAACATCTGTGGTGGTAATGAAATTGTGAACACCTTCTGTATAGGAGAGATTGTGAACAGCTCCTTTGGTCATGTTTGTCAGATTTTAACATAAACATTTTAGACAACAACAATGTAACTAGGGAATTTACTAATTTATTAAGAAACCATGGTTTTAGATACATGGTTGATTTTCCCACTAGGATATGTGACACTACTGCAACTGCAATTGACAACATAATTACTAACATCCCTCAGAATAAATTAAAGGTGTATGGGCTGATAACCGCTCTCTCTGATCACGATGCACAAGTTCTTGAAGTTTATTGGCCAGGGGCTGATGTAACAAAAAATAGTTATATAACACATTTCAAAAGAAAATACAATGATAAACAAAAATTCCTTAGTATGCTATCAACAGAAAGTTGGGATAATGTGTATAATGCTACAGTTGAATCCAAATTTAACACTTTTTTTGACATTTTATTTTATTATTTTGATAGTTGTTTTCCCAAAACAAAATGTAGAGTATATAATAAGACTAATAAATGGTTTACATCTGATCTGTTTAAGGCTAAAGAGGAACTGATTAGTTTGACCAATCAACTTAGACAAGATAAATCTGATGTTAAATTAAAAAGTTTAATAAAGGAAAGAACAAAAGATTTCACTGATCAGGTTATTAAGACTAAGAAAGATTTTTATAGTAATCTTATTTGCAATTCAAGCAATATCTGTAAAGCAACTTGGAATATTATTGGCAATGAAACTAAAATGAAAGAGAAAACAAAGTATGATAATATCAAGTTAAGACATGACGGATTGTTATTTGATAAACCTGAATATGTTGCCTCTATATTTAATGAATATTATACCACCTTGGTGGAATCTCAAATAGTACCTAATGCAAATCTATTGTCATCTGCAAATGGCTTACAACAAACCAAAAAAGTTAACAGCAAACTTGGTATTTTTGAAGCTATTACTGAAGAGGACTTTGAGAGTGTACTAAGATCATTTGACAATAAATATTCTGCTGGATATGACGACATACCTATGCCTATCATAAAACTTGCCTCTGTTTTTCTAAAGAAACCATTAACACATGTAATTAACTCGTCTTTCATTTCTGGCATTTTTCCTATTAAACTAAAAGTCCCAAAAATCACCCCACTTTTTAAATCAGGTGATGCACAAATTGCTTCTAACTACAGGCCACTATCTTTACTGTCATCCTTTTCCAAATTGTATGAGAGAGTCGTTGCACAGCAATTGACAAAATACTTGGAGTCTCACGAGATTATTTCCAATGAGCAACATGGCTTTAGACAAAACAAGTCAGTCATAAGTGCAAGCACAGATTTCATAGAATCAGTCATTGATTCTATAGATAAAGGCCGTAGGAATTTTCATCGACCTCAGCAAGGCATTTGATAGTGTTTGTCATACCAAATTATTAAGTATTCTTTCAAATTTTGGAATAAAAAATAAAGCTTATGATTGGATCAAATCTTATTTATGTAATCGAACTACTTTTGTTGAACTGAAATACGTAAACAAATATAATCAACTTATATCTTGCCGTTCCAGTAACAGTCCGTTGAAATATGGTGTACCACAAGGATCTATATTGGGACCTTTATTCTTTTTATGTTAAATCAATAGCTTAGCTAATTTCAGTGATCAAAGTAAAATCACTTTATATGCAGATGATGTAAATATAAAACTATCCGGATACCATGCAAATGATATAGAAATATCTTCTTTTATAAAACTTAATGCAATCCAACAACATTTAGCTGATTTAAACCTTTTATTAAATAAACAAAAAACTAAATATATTAATTTTTCCGCTTCAAATAGGAAAAGTGGGTCTGTGGTAAAGAATGTTTGTCTTAATGATTCCTTTATTGGTGAAGTTAAGGAAACAAAATTCCTTGGTTTAAGTGTTGATAGACTTCTTAGCTGGAACACTCATGTATCTCAAGTTTGTAAAAAAATGTCAACAGGTATTTTCATCCTTAGAAAATTATCACCATTTTGTGATATTAAAACCCTTAAAGCAGTTTATTTTGCTTTTGTGCACTCTCATGTCTCTTTTGGTTTGTCGGTTTATGGTAACACCTCTAATGAAAATTTAAACATGATACTTATATTACAAAAAAAAGCAATAAGAATAATAATGAAACTTAAGTGGTTTGAGTCAGCCAGAGAACATTTTTCAAATTTAGGAATAATGACAGTTTACAACCAATTAATCTATGATCTGATTCTGTGGATTAAAAAAAATCAAAATAGTCATTGTATGCTAGGTTTTAACCACAGATATGAAACTAGAAATAAAAATAATTTTTGTTTTAATAGACATAAGCTAACATTTTATGAGAAGAAGCCAACATATTCAGGCATCAAATTTTATAATTCATTACCAGAAAACATAAAATGTATAACTGATTTTGGATCCTTCAAAAAGAAATTGAAGTCATTTATTATTGTTAAACCTTTGTACAGTTTTAATGAATTTTTTTAAGCATATGTCGTCTGTAACAGTTAATTTAATTTCTTACAGTGATTATAATTTTAATTTATTATTGTATTATATATACTTGTACTTTCTAGTTTATAATAGTACTTGTTGACGCCATTCTGTACTCTATGTGTACATAATGAATAAAGAAGATTTTGATTTGATTTGATTTGTTAAAATAACGAGTGTCCCCTGCAGTGCGGTGAAATTTTAAATGTCTCCTGCAATCTCAGTAAAATCATTCATTTTTTATCACACAATCTTAACTGATACTTTAAGCGATGGAGAACCTGACTTAAGCATTAACATTTCATAGCTATAAGTAGAATACCTACAGCTTTTCTTTCAACTCCTCTTCTTCAGCATCTTTAGAATCTTCAATTTGACAAAGGAAGAGATCATTTTCATATGTCGGGAAATAGTATCTGAAAACATAAGATTATTGGCAACGTTAAAAAAAATTACTAAGGATGTTTTGAGCGCTAAGAGCTCATATCTTATGTGTTTAATTTTGTCCCTTATACAGAATTACAATAGCATAAAAGATAATGAATTCTATAATCCTACAAAAGAGAAGATATGCATATCTGTTTATTCAGAATGAATGCAAAAAATGCTGATCGAACTTAGCTAACATCGTACACAAAAATTGATCATGAACATTTAACATATGACCTACAAACTCCCTTGGGTTATTCCCAGTGGATGTTCAAAGGTTACTTTTATCACCTACTAGCAACACATCAAAATCAAATTCAAGGACAGTTCCAGGTGCCACTCAAAATAAGCAAATCCTACTCGTTTGTACCTGATAGTATATTGAAAACATTTAGACAGATTTTGTGATCATTTCTAGCGATCACAGCCACATTCCTGATCATAACTTCCGATCGGAACAAAATTCTTAATGATTTCCTATCATTGTGACAACAGCTATGATAAATTCTTGCGCTTGCGGCAAGGTCCCTGGTTTCGATATAGCTCCCCGTGATTGTGATTTTCAACTATAAAACTCATATTATACAATTCACAAATATTTCCTAGTTATCAAAATTTATGAATGCTACTATCCTGGTTTTCAGGTATGCTGCACACCCTGTTGTGTAATACCCTTCAAAATCAAGCAATGTGTTCAAAATTAGCACATTACAATGCTATTAAGCAATAATATCTGACATCACTATATAAATACCCCCACCGCAGCAAACCTGCCGTCTAAGCGAATTTCCATTTGGCCAAATTGATTTTCAATTGATCTATTTAAATAACATTAGGTTTAACGAATACCTAGGTTTACTGCTACAAGGAAACTAATAAAGTAGTGTGTTTTTAGTAAAATATTGATAGCTTACTATAAAATAAATAAATTTGCCAAGTTTGATCAAAATATATCCATAAACAAGCAAACTACAACATTTTACAATATTCTCCATAAGAATAACATGGGAATTTTAAATTTACAATTTTTTTAGTTTTCTCCGTAACCAATAATTGTACAAAAACACTTTGATATACTGAATTGTTTGTTTTTTTAAGCTCTTTAAGAAGGTTTAGAGAAAAATTGGGAAATTTTGTGTTTTGAGGGTAAAAAGTGAGAAAACCCAATTTTTACCCCATAAAACCCTGTTCCTATGGTCCGATCATGCTGGATCGCGATAAAAATTCATCAAAATCGGATAAAAATTACTCAAGTTATCGTGTTCACGGACACATATATATATATATAAATCTATATATATATATATATATATACATATATAAAAATTTGAACGAATGGTGTTTTTGGCCTCTGGGGACATTAAAATGAAAAAGTAAATCGGTCCCGGGCCTAAGTCTTACCATTGAGACCTACGGTAATAGCTACTTCCCTATAGGGAAATTCGCTAAAAGGTTGTTACTTGTTTCTGATGTGTCTATGGAATCATAACCACTCAGCATAAATAATATGTGCTACACAGACCGTATTAAGTCCTAAGAAAGCGTATTGAAAAAGAGAGTGTACATTGTATATCAACCCAATTTAATAGCTGGGCAGCTAATTGGGTTAGTGCTCACCTAACAATTAAAGTTGCTAGTTCGATCCTGATAAAAGTCAAGACTTTTTTTGATGGTTCGAAACTGGACTAAGCTGTCCTTGATCATTGGGCTTTTAGTAAATACTTTAATAATTCTCACTGAAATGTTGATCATACGAAGGTAGGTATTTTAAGCCAAGTATGAATGGAGATGAGTGGCACAATCTTGAAGTCTTGTAATTGACTAAGGCCGACATGTTCCTTAGACAGGACTGTTAATTAATAGCCCATACAACAAATGGCAACTAAGGGATCTACAGCTTATAGTGGAATCTGAACTACATTTTTGCCTTGTAATTGAAATGCCCCTTGAAATGGCCCTAGAGCTAATGAAACAGCTGATCATAGTCAGTAAAAAATAACTACAGTAGACCCCCTCTTAACCGACCATAATGGGACCGGATAACTCAAAAGGTTGGTTAAAAAGGGCAATCTCTAAAAACAACATAATGAAGAGCTATTCATTTGGAATTATATAATCATTATTTTGAAGTGGTACTTGCATTATTTATAAAATAAACTACACCTATCTCCTTTTGAATATATGTAGAAAAGTCACAAATTAACACAAAACACGGTTAAGTCAAATACTTTCAGTGGAATAAATTATAGTTGTAGGCAAGAGTCAATAAAAATTCTTATTTTAATAACTTTGGTACTGTAATATTAATTTACTAGGTGAAACCCGTTGAAATCAACAGTTACTTTCAAGGCCTAGGCTAATTCATATTATTTCGATAAATAGAGTGAAATTATAAGTACAAATTTTGAGCATTTAGCATTGTTTAATGAGTTGAGTAATAAGTGTAAAAACAATAATGACTATTGGTATTATTACGTTAGATACAAAATATGGTTGATCATTCAATGAATAAAATATTTCTCAAACCGTAAGTCATCGGTGTTATTATAACATTAACCGGTTTCTCTTCTTTTAAAAGAGCCTTTAAATAGTTTTAAAATCATATTGGTGCATCTTTTGTGGTAAACACTTCCGCGATCTATCAGTGTAATGCAGCCTTTCACTGGAGGTTCGAGTCACAAAAACAATCTTGACCTTGGAGTCGTTAACCCCTTCCTACAAGTTTCGCTGTTTGTGTCTAGTGATAAGATAATCAGTGATCAAAATTGTAACACACTTTACAATATGCACATCTTATTAACTCTTATTGACTCTTCCTGTGGAGGTAAGCGGGAAATGCAGAGATTCCTAGAAAGCGGCAGTTAAACCAAACTGCTGTAAAAGCAAGATCGGTTAAAACAAACTGTAATATTTTACGATCAAGGGTGGATAATCCAATAATCAGTTAATGTGACACTGTCGGTCAAGAGGGGGTCTACTGTACACAAGGCATCTCATGTCATTCTACACATCTTTCACTCATATTTGGGTAAAAAGCACGTAGGAGGTGTCCCCAATTCAATTGGTGGTATAGTACAATTGATTTATCCGTAAAAATAATAGTTACATAACATAACATGAAATACTACTATCTGCAACTCACTCAGGCTGATCCCATAGCAGACAATGAGGCAAAGTAAGATGGCCAGCCTGAGTCATGTGACTCAACAGTGACTCGGATGACTCAAACTTCTCATCACATATGATACAAGCTAGTCTGTGCACCTGTCGACGGATATAGTTCACTAACTTCACCTGAAACCACAATTCTATGAATAAAATTTACAGAAGAGGAACCTCATCATAGACTTACCGGCACTGCTTTGGATACTGAAGTAAACATTACAACTTACAACTATTGCTAATTAGATGCACATTCCATCTATATTGACTATACATATCTATATGACTATACAGTGTATATAGATGAGTAGCCTCCTTCCTAAATTTGGTCCTAAAGTTCCGCTGAACACTAACAACAGCATTAGTATGAGCAAACTCTAAAACACTAAAAATGTCTGTCTTGTTTTGTAGTAGCCATTTTGTTGACAGGCTTTATAGTACTCAACTAAGCAACTGAGAAAAAACATAACCTTTTCAAAACAAACTTATAAACTCAATCTTTCTATGGATAAAGACGTACCAGCATTTTAGTTTTGTACCATTATTTTTTAATAACCCTGTATTGCAGGTACCATTTGCAATCATCAACACGATGTCAAGATTTATTCTGTAGTAACTTCTCCGGAAATTTGGCAACCCGGATCCAGATGTGGACTCTGCCAACTAATTTGGATTAACCGGACTTATAATTAACTTCAAATCAAATCAAATCCACATGATTAAGCAAAAAAACTTACTAACCGTATTCCATTTTCTTATTCTATATCGAAGCCACAAACAGTTTAAAATTTACCAGCTGGTCGTTCTTTTTAGTTAAGAACCATGAACGTTTCACAACACCTGTTGATAGAAGTCGAGCCCATTAGTGAGTTGTTCGTAGTGGAAGCCATGTGAGAGCATGTGGGTGTTGACATCGTCCCAACTGTTGTCAGAGTGATGACATAACAGACACACAATGGCGTCTCCTGTGTCTTCTGTCCAGTCCGACCACTCTGCGTCCTCATTGCTCGACAAATCACGAGCCTCAACTCCCTGATGTTCCTGAAAAAAAAAACATTGCAAGTTGCAACATAGACTAACCAACACCACAAGTAGACTTTCCATCCCATTGTAAATCTTGAAGCTTGTTTTTCGTAATCATGTACAATGACACTGCGCGCTAGTGTCGACAAAATTTTGTTTCAACCATTTTAGGGTTAATTTCTTGATTTGGGCTTTGCTGTTTGGTTATATGACTAAGGGACGAGTTATTGTTTATGATTAGATTGTATTACTTGGTTAATCGAGGTCTTAAATTACTGAAATAGTAAGGATCAAATTGTAAACAAAACACGACCTCCACAGTACATTATACAGAACTAACAATAAAATGTATCTTCGGCTGTTCCATAAGGATGAGAAATAGTTCTTAAGTATGTGTTTTATCTATGGTAGCAACTTATTTCTTAACTGTTTGGACCTCACAGTAGACCTAATCAAAAATATCAGTAGCATTGCTAACACTGGAGGAGATTCTACAAATTCAAAGACTTCCCAACTGCAAACACTCTTTTATGCGACAAAAATTTACAATATTACCCTCCATGCAGCAAACCTGCAAAGTAAGAGAATTTCTGATCACCTGATCGGATTTTCAAATAAAGTATCCATAAGGCACTCGCCAAGGCTCGTACCTTGAATTTCCTACTAGTATCGTTAACACTATCTTTAAATGCAATTGTTGAGTAGCCTAAACTACAAAAATTTTATTTCTGCATTTTTAAAGAACTGTGTTTAGTATGGATGGGTTATATGTTATAACAGGGAAAATTCTTTGGATTTCAGAAAGAAATAGTTGATCAAAATGTGTATATTATGAATTATAATAGTGTACACCTTCGTATTGTTTCTAATACAACCCAAGCCTCCTACCTCACTAACTTATAAACTAGGCCTACAGCAAAATCAGTAAGATAATTTATTACCTTCCATGTTTTCCCAGCTTCTAAATAATTCACTATGTAAAACCTGTCATATTCTTTGTTTTCAGGATTGATACGTTTGTGCCAGCTCTTCTTTCTCATGTGTTCTTTTAAGACGTTCCTATCCTTAAAAACTTTTTCACAATAGAAACACTGAAGCCTAAAAAAAGAGAAGATTAAGATATTCAAACAGTCCATTCCAAAAACAATGTTACAAACATGATAAAATTCCATGGGGATTTTATTGATAAGTTTATGACTATTTACACCTAAGTTATATTGGCCTATTTATATGCTGTTTAAACCTAATCATCGGAGGTAGTACAAGGGGAATGAAAGCAAACAATCCAAATTCCTTCAAAACAGAGCTTAAATGACTTGTCACAGTGACAACAAATGACAGCTAGGGTGAAAGTCTTATTGAAGAGACATTATATTACTTTAGACAGCTAGGCCATTAATCAGACCTTTCCAACAACACTTGTTAGCAAAAACCCCAAACGTAGTAAACATGACTCCCAGGTTTCAGCACAACGTATAGTTTTCAGCCATTTCCGCTAAGTTATTCTCCATTAATGGCTGATATCAGCATTTGAGGCTCAATGAGTAAAGTGCAAATGTAACAAATACCAAGGTTTGACAAACATACCTTTCAATTTTCTCATGCAGTTTGTTTATAAGCTCGTCTATAAACACCAGGTTATGTGGATGGCCAAGTTGGAGGTTATGTTGAGAAGCCAGGTGGTCTAAATAAAGAGCCCTTGTACCACATATGTGGCTGGTGCAAAAAAGACAGCCCCTCGAGAAATTGTTGTCTTCCCTTTCCACCTTTTGTTGCTCTAACGCCCATTCCTGCAAAGATAAAAATTGTATAATGTGTGTTAAGATAGCACTAAATACAATTATAGAAACCAACTCAAATAAATACAACTGGCCTGTCACTTAAGTAGTCATTGACACTAAGTAGTACAAATCTCCATCAAATCAGCCATGAGCATCACAAACTCCCATTCAACAAGGCCGTCAGATTAAAAACACAAAACCTTAAAATGAATTGATGGTCTTCAGCAGGACTAAGAGGATATCCATACAAACCTAATGATGGCTCAAAATCAGAGGCTAAACTAGTTGCTTGGGCGCAATTCTATAACCGGTTTGAGAAGCGAGGAGAGATAGGTATTTACGCCATTTTAATATTTAATTGATACTCCGGAGGCAAAGATAACATCATGAACCATCATGATTATTAACTGCAACGTTCAATTGATTATAAGACAGTGAATTAACCCAAAACAAATTCTCTTCATTTAGTGGATTAAACACCTATCATTGTAATAATACCTTGGGCCTCTGAATGCATATAAAGACATCTAAGACAGGGCTACCACCTTTGGTTTTTAGGAAAAAATCAGGACGGGTTCCTTTCCCCCAGGATTAACACAAACATAAACACAGGCAAAAGGGACCATAGTCGGGCCTTTTCCAATATAATAGGGACAGATGTTAACCCTGATTTAAGGGTTTACAACATTCTACTCCATCCAAATGGTCTTTTTATTCAATTCTGACTTTACAATAAAACCTAACACAAAAGCAATCATTTTGAAAAAGCACCTACGGTACGCAAGTACTCACCAATCTTTGTTGTTGAAGACCTTCCCTTAGTTGTCTGTCCTCTGGTAAGACATCTGATAAGAGGAAATATTTTTCATTGGGGAAAATTTTACCTTCTTTCTCAACATCAACAAAGACTGTAGAGCAAAATTCTTTTAATGGGTTGTCTTTCATTCTCATTCTCCAATAGCTAACATATCTAGAACCAAGTGTCAAGCATAAGTAATGTATTCAACAATCTAACAGTGTATAAAAAAATGTCTCTCATATGAATATTGAGGAATGAGAGCCCCATTAAAAAAGCCTTAGGCCTAAGTTATGTATGCAAAGAACCACAATATACCATCAATTTACTCTCAGTATAAAAAAATTGTGTCACTTATTTAAGGCTTGGTTAACATATTTGCGATATCAAGTTTCCAATTATCTAAACCTGGTTTCTTATGTAACATTTTTTACTGTGGACAGAAATTGTGCCAACTTAGTCAAACCTCCTTTAATGAGTAAAAGAATTTAGGTTATTGATGTCATTTGGTATTTTATAAAACGCAAAGGATACGCGTCCAGTAACCGAACGTTGATTAGGTGTCCGGCAGTGACGTCACCGGGTTGTGGGGGCCCAGAACACCATTAACACAACAATACGGTGGAATGCGGTCAGTGTTCGTGGTGTAGTGGATAGAGTACTCGGCTGATCTTCAAGAGGTACTTAGATCGAATTCCATCATCGGTGTCACTAACTTTTTGCCAAAGATTTTGCTTAGAATGCCATTTCGGTACTTTCCTGTTAAGGGGAACATTCATTATTATTAATGATTTTTTTCTTCGATATAGGCCTATCAATATTTTTGTTTTCCTTTACGATCATATTCCATCCGTCTTAATAAGTTTATCTTCAAACGCATTTTAATAACAGACAAAGAGACAAACAGACATAGCAAATAAGTCTAAGTTATACTTGGTTCAATAACCGATTTATTGAGTTATAGCTCGCATTAGAGAATAGGATTAAGAACTAGGTAATCTTGTTTGGGATAAAATAATAGCCTATATATTGGATTAAGAAATTAATCTATTATAAACTAACCGGTACTTTCCTGTTAAGGGGAACATTCATTATTGATGACTTCTTTTCGATATACCGTATCGACATTTTAGTTTTCCTTTACGTTCCATATTCCATCTGTTTTAATATCTTCAAACGCATTTAAATTACAGACAGACAGACAAACAGACATAGTAAATATTTTTAAGTAGTTAAATAGGTACTTGGTTCAATAACCAAGTTATTGAGTTATAGAGAATAGGTTATTAGAGAATAGGTATTAGAGCATAGGAACTAGCCTAATCTTGTTTAGGCAAAAATAATTGCCTATAGCCTATATTGGATTAAGAAAAAATTCTGTTTGATAACAGAAAAGGCATATGGGGAATAGGCTATCAAACGGAATTTTAAAATGTTACAGCAAGTTTGGTTAGCTAAGTTAGTTTAGAACAGTTTCATTTCAATACATTTTCTTTTATTGTTTGTTGATAACGTACTGAACAATATTTACTCATCGTAGTTGTCGGCTGACAAGTTTCAATTTTTTTAGGCTGCACTTTACTTGACGTCCTACACTCATTCGAATGAAAATATCTATCGATTAATCGATTGCTTCATTCGATATATCGTTTGGTTAGTTAGGTAAGGTTAACCTAACCTAACTAACCAAACGATATATCGAATGAAACAATCGAATGAAAATATCGAATCGAAAAAACAATCGAATGAGTGTAGGACGTCAAGTAAAGTGCAGCCTTTTTTTATATTAATATATTGAATAAAAAGAAAGCACCGCCCACTCTTCTTAACTGTACATCTTTTGATAGAATTTGAGGCATTTATAATTTTATTTTATGAACAGAATTTAAACTTAATTAGATTTTTTCACTATCAGCAAGTTTGTTTGGTTATGACAGTAGCCTAACTGCCGGACACCTAATCCACGTCCGGTTACCGGACGCATATCCTCTGCCTTTATTAAATACAATATTGTTATCCAACCGGGTACACTTCCATATCTGTTGGCACAAACAACCAAATTAAAATATCAGTTGATATATCGATTATTCGATATATCGTTTGGTTTGTTAGGCAAGGTTAACCTAACCTAACTAACCAAACGATATATCGAATTAAGTTAAACAATCAAATAATCAATATTAAGTTACTCATTTGGTTGTTTGGGCCAACAGATATGGAAGTGAACCCATCCAACCATATAAATATTGATATATTTATCATTATTCATCGGATAGGTACCTAATGGAACTGTAACTTACCAATATTTTTTTGCACTGGTACTGTACTTTTGGCTTAAGTAGAATGGATTAGTTAAACTTAGATTAATTTTGGGGTAGGCCTAACTTAATTAACTTAGCCTATGACACTTCAATTCCATACTAACTTAGGTACCCTTTTGCAGTTCAGTCTACACTACAACTAATCTCAAATCTTAACCTAACTGACGATAAGTTAGGCCGGTATTTCACTCTAGATAGTTAGGCCTATTTCGACATAAGTGATTGTGTTTACATGGAAAGTATGGGTAGGCCTAATTTTCTACAGGAAAGAGGAGGAAAACATTCACGTTGATAGCTTAGGCTACACTAAGTAGTCCACAACTAACAAAATCGATGATTAAGTTAGGCCTAAACAGGTCTGAATCCAAACAAAGATAGGCCCTACAAGAAACTAAGCTAAATATTTTGTTTTGGTTACCATAGGCCTATCCTCCAAGGAACTTTCTCTCCTCCAAGCTGGATTTCTACACATCCGAAGCATTGACTTATTTAACATTTATTGTCAATCATTAAATAAATTTAAACTCAGCAGTTCAGCAATGGCCCAAGGCCCAATGGTCCCAATGGTCTAAGTTAAGTTATCATGCCCATGAAGATTATTTTACAGGTCTCTCTCATAGCCTAAGGCTAATATTTAAAAATACTGATTATTTGTTTAGAACATGCCTACCTTTCTAAGTTAGCTACTAGAGGTACATCAGCAATGACTAATTTATGAGAATCGAATATGTGCTGTAGAAAGTCATCTTGCTGCAAAACAAGGTTAAATTTTCTCTCGCATAAAAGACAAGTACTGACAGAGGATGAGTTTTCAGTTGAAATATCTTTCACATCCTTCCTTGGCGAAGGAAAACTTAGAGGTCCAAACATTGGTGATTTAGAAGAAAAATCACAAGTTTCTAGTTGCCAAAAATAGTGTTCCTTTTCTTGGTTCGTTGGGACTTATCGTTTATCGAATTATTATGTTATGACTTTTTCTATTAAATTTTAGGTTATGATCATATGATGATGGCTGGGCTCTTCGCTCCAGTGTTGCCACTAGCTATGAGTGAGAAGTCCCTAGATCAAGGAAAGTTTGTCACTAGAAATCCCTGGATGAATACAATGAATACAATGAATTTATTTGGCCAATCAACAACAACATTGTTACAGGCTATGTCAATGTACAAGCATAAAATAAAATAAATATCAAGACTTAAAAATCAAACCAAGCAAAAGATGTGCATGCACTATGCAAAAACAGCAAACAGGCTGTTCAGAGGAAAACTTAACTAAATACAGTTTCAAAAAACTCTTTGAATTTGAAAAAAGGATTTTTAATCAGCCAATCAAGTATTGCGGTTTGGAAGTTCTTTCTTTCCAGATTTCTCACATGACCAGGAAGGTGATTGAACAGTTTTATTCCTGAAACAGGGTATGACCTAGCTCTTTTATCAGTCCTGGACCGAGGAATGACAAGCTTAGAACTAAACCTAGTGTCATGATTGTGCACTGAACTGGTTACATGTAAGTCATTCATGCTGTTCTTAATACTAACAAGGCATTGGAATATATACATATTTACAACTGTCAGAATTCTTTGTCTCTTAAACAAGGGCTTACTGTGTTCTTTATAGTGAGCATGACAGAGAATCCTTACTGCCTTCTTTTGCAGTCGCAGGATCTTTTCGACATTGGGTGAGTGGCCCCACAAAATTAACCCATAGGATATGTGAGGTTGGAAAAATGCAAAGAAGGACATTCTAAGGGTACTCTGTGGCAATTGGTCACTTAGACGTCTTAAAAGATGTACTACTCTACTTAGTTTAGTACAGACTTGGCTTATGTGGTCTTTCCAATTGAGACAGGGGTCAAGGGTTATACCAAGGAGTTTGACAGGCTCTTGGAAAGGAACAATCTGGGAATCACATAGGCTAAATGTTATGTACTGTGTTTTCTCATTATTGAGCACTAATTTATTGTCAACAAACCAATTTGAGGCTGACTCAAAAATCTTCTTAACAGACAGCTCTGCTTGTTCACGGGTCGCTTTACATGATATAAGGGAAGTATCATCAGCATACAACATGCAATTACCTTCAAGTCTGGTATAGAGGTCATTGATTGTTACTAAAAATAACAGAGGTCCCATAATGGAACCTTGCGGAACCCCGTGTCTTACAGCTAATGGTTTAGATGTAATACCATTCCAACTTACAACCTGTTGGCGATCACTGAGGTAGGATTTGACCAATCTCAGAGCACTGCCTTCTAGGCCATATTTTCCCAATTTCAGGAGCAAAATTTCATGTGACACACAATCAAAAGCGCGAGAGAGGTCACAAAGTATTACGGAGGTAGATTTCTTAGACTCAAAAGCATCAACAATTAATTGTACAATAGAATCAACAGCCAATATAGTGGATTTGGCTTTCCTGAAGCCAAATTGACCAGGCACCAGAAGGCTGTGTGCTTCAAGGTGGTCGTACAATTGAGCAAACATAATAGCTTCAAACAGTTTAGAAAATACAGGAATCAACGATATTGGTCGATAACTTGCAACATTGTCACGGGACCCTTTTTTATAGACAGGCACAGTTCTAGAGACTTTTAATGGAGCAGGAAAAATACCAACTAAAAAGCATACATTAACCAAATGGGCTAGTATAGGTGCCAGTGCCCACACAATGTGTTTCAAAAGATTAGGTGTCATGCCATACACATCTTTACTGTTAGAGAGTTTAAAGTCCATAACAGCATTAATAATGTCTTGGACCGATACATGTTTCCATTCAAAAGTAGGTGCACCATCAGGTATGCTTGACAGGATCACAGGAGAGGATTGCGTTACATTTGGAATGGTTGACAAGATGGACTCAACAGACTCAACAAAGTACGAATTGAATTCATCAGCAGATGCAAAAGACGGATCAAGAATATCAGACTTTGTTTGAGGTCTATTTTGATTTATTAAATTCCAGGCCGCCTTACAGGGATTGGAAGCCCCTGTTATGTATGCGGCATTTGAGTTGATCTTTGCATCCCTCACATTCTTACGGTATTGTGTTCTAAGCAGCTTAAGCAAGTTAGACAGATCAGGTCTTACACTAACTAAATCATTAACTAAAGTTATCATGTTCTTTAGCCTAGAGAGTTCAGGGTATACCAGTCCTTAACAACAGGCAAACCATTACTTTTAGAAACCCCTGACTTTTATTGGGAAAAAATGATCAAAGGCCATGTTGAAGTTGACATGAAAAAACATGAAAGCATCATTTGCCGTCAATGCTTTGATTTCATCAAACCAGAAAATGTACATTCAGTTCTAGGTATTCTATAAGTTTAAATTCTGCCTCCTCACTGTAGACTCTGAAGGATACCACTTTTGAGGACACCTGGTGATGTTGATCCACATTCGGAGTAGTGACCGACAGCAGAACATGCTTGTGATCTGCAATACTGTCCACACTTACCGCAGCCACATAGTCCCATCTGTCCAAGTTGGTTAGAAAAGTGTCCAAAGATGCAGGACCCCTAGTTGGTTCGATGATTGAAGGGAATATATTAAAAGTTCGCATCAAATTTACAAAATCAGACGCGTAGTTGTCAGAGCTAAGCAAATTGATATTATGATCGGTTCCAATCACCACAAAGAGGCGCGCCTAAGGTTGTAAGGTAACTTAGACAAAGTTCAAGCAATTCAAAAAATCTATATACATTACCACTAGGAGAGCGATACATGCTTATTACCGCCATTGAAAGATTTGGCAGCACTACACCTGCAAATTCAACCTGGAGATCCTCAGAGAATTTGCCTCATGAATGGATGTCCTAAGATGTCCCTAACTATGTCCCTAGACTTAAAATTATGGCAATTAACTTAAATAAAGAAAAAACAAGTTTTCAGCATCGTTTTGAAGGAATAACAAACGTTTTAGACAATTTATACTTTGATATCAGATCCCACCGGATTAGTGGACAATAAAAGTATCGATTCAATAATAACCAAACATAAACAAACCATAGCCCAAACTCAATAGGGATTTGATTTGGATATTAAAGTTCAAAACATTTTCTAAAAAAAACCAATAGTTTTGTAAAAAAGTCAGCTTAACAACCCAGATAATCTGTTGTGCACAACTTTGAAATCGGCGAATTTGTTGTAGATGTAAAAGTTTCCTTAGAAAGTCGCCAAACGGCAAGACCAAATAAATATTCTGACGGTAAGGACTCCAGATTTCAATTCAATTCAATTCAATTCAAACAATTTTATTCATACAATTTTTAAATTAAATACATAATCCCATGTGCCATGCAAAGCACGCGCGGGATGACTCTCTCTTCTTTCTTGGAATGTACGGAAAACCACTAAGGTACCACCCCCCCCCCCCCAAAGGAGACTTGTACAATGTTAACAGGTGCAGAGGTGTTGCGGAAGGCCCTCATGGTTGGGTGTAGATCTTTGAATAACACCCAGGAGTGTCCTATACACAGTGAGCTTGATACACAGTGGTTGATGGGATCCTGTGGGCTAAGATTTTGCGACAGAATAAGTCCAAGGTCTTTCACATTTTTTATTTTATTTTATTTTATTTCAACGGACATTCCATTTTGTTTGATGTGGTACTAAAGGTACATTGTACAGTTCAAGATGACTAATATTAAATAACAACTGTGAACTTTTAACACTTAGACATAGGCAACAAAACAAATAACAATAATATAGTAATTAACAACAATAATGTAGTAATTAACAACAATAAATTATAGCAAAAACATAACAAAGACGATCGTAATACATAATAACCATAAATAACAAGGAAAACAGGCATGTTTGGGAGAATAAATATTAGCTTAAATAAGTATAACAGATTATGACTAGAGCAATTATGAAAAACTTTGTTTAATATTTACAAGGAACATGCAGTTTAATGAATGTGATTTTGAAAAGAAACTAGGAAAAAAACAAGTGTAAATAATGATTATTACCAACAAGGATATTGAAGATACAAAAAAAAAAAAAAAATTAATTAATAAATAAGCTAAACACTCACGCACTATTTGCCTGTTCAGGCGTGTGGCCCTTTAAAGGCGCCACCTAACACAATATATAAATTTATATTACTTCTCTGTGGTCTATCTATAAGTATAAAAGAGGATGTTTGTATTTATATATATATATATATATATACAGACTGTCCCAAAAGTCACGGACCGGTTTAATATTTTCTAAACGACAACAGATAAATCAATAAGATTTGGTACATCAACACCACACCTAAAAATCTACTTTTTTAAGGAGATATCAATTTTCTGTCACATCATGGAGACGTCCCACAAGGAGTCAGAAGGAAATCTTAAATAGAAGCATAGGTTGAAATGTACATCAAATTAAAGATCTTTACTAGCAGAATATAATACCGCAAATTTGAACTCCAACGGACAATCGAGTCAAGAATGACAGTGGTTCAAAGATTCATTTAATCTACATTGCTATTATACGCTTACTCCTCAGGTGGCACAGCCCTAGGAATCGGAAGAAAATTGCTAACGTAAGCATAGGTTGATATGCACATCAAATTAAAGGTCTTCACTAGTAGATTACAATGCCGTAAATTTAAGCTCAAAAGAAGGCCTGAGTAAAAAATGGCAGTCGTTTAAAGATTCAAAATGGCAGATTCAAGAAATCTTTGAACGGCTGCCATTTATTACTCAAATATCCGTTTGAGTTCAAATTTGCGGCATTATATTCTGCTAGTAAAACCCTTTAATTTGATGTACATGTCAACCTATGCTTCTATTTAAGATTTCCTTCTGACTCCTTGCGGGACGTCCCCATGATATGACAGAAAATTGATAGTTCCTTAAAAAAGTAGATTTTTAGGTGTGGTTTTGATGTGCAAAATCTTATTGATTTATCTGTTGTCGTTTAGAAAATATTAAACCAGTCCGGGACTTTTGGGACAGTCTGTATATATATTTGGCAGTGATAAACTCAGACACCGCTGAACCGATTGCCACGAAACTTTGTACATACGTGTAGAATTTCATGGAATAGGTTTATACACCAATTTCGTGATCCGTCCAATCGGCTCCGCCCCAGTGGCTCTGGAGTTTCCCATGTTAACCTTATGAGAAATGGAATTAATGAATCTTAACAGCTGTTTCAATTAAACAAGTTGGTTCTGTTCTATGATGTTCAATAGCATTAAAGTTACAAGGATTGCCAACAGGGTGCAGCACTATTATTTCTTTTACATTTATGACAACGGCTAATTTGCAACCAAAAGGTGAGTGAGCATAGCGAACGAGCTCCAACCTAAAGGTGAGTGAGCGTAGCGAACGAACTTCAACCAGGACGTGATTGAGCCATGCGAACGAGATCATCTTGAAAATTAAGAAGTTAAACGGGGCAAAGCCCGCGGGTTACAGCTAGTATATAAAAGAATTTTTTGAAATTCCTACAGCTGTTGTAAGTAGATGCTTTTGATTCCTTTTGCTGTGCCTGAAGTTTGAAGTAGATTGTGCATGGTGTGTTTTTTGAAAGTAGATAAGAGTAGTTTGTGCACTATTCTACTATTGTTGCCATTATTTAACTATTTATTTATTTATTATATTTGCCTGTTTTGTGCATGGTGTGATTTAAGTTAAGTCAACCCAGTTTACTAACTGGGACTGTTTAACTCTAACTTATTGTTGCCAGATGATTATTATAAATGACTTGTCTGATTGACACGTCATGACCACAATTTTCATGTTCACGGAAATAAAGCATTTCATTGCATTGCATGTAACTGCATGTTTAAAAGACCAAATAAATTCTCATTCTCAATAAATGATTTCTTTGAGGCTGTTGATGACTACAGATGATGTTGTGAAGAAATAAATCCGAACGAGCGGACAGCGGAGGCGAACACCCAAAAGTAACAAGTAAGTAGCCGAGAGTCAGCATGAATAGATTAAGCATTTAAAATCATTGACGAAACGCAGTCTTGTAATATTGAGTCAGGGAAGCGAGAGCGAACACAGGATTCAGTAATTTCGGTTCGGTTCAGTTCAGAGGGTTCGCCGGAATGAATGAATAATATCGTATCTCGTATCGAAAGAAAGTTCATTTAGCTCGATATGACTGATATGAGCTAACGGCCGGGGCGAAAGTGTGTGAAGTGTAGGCTGTGGAGTGTAGTCTTTTGGTGTTTATAGTCTAATAATCTTACGATAGGTGACATACAAGAATACGAAAGAAAAATAAATTCATTTTTAATCGTTTCGTGATTTTCGTTTTTGTTTGTGTGGTCATAGTGTGTCTGTGTGTGTGAAGTGAAGATGGCTGCCACTGCAGGTTTGTTTATTTGTAAAAACTCAACTAACTTAATATTAATGCATTTCCTACATTACTCCTTCGCGTTTCCGTTTCCAACATTGAGTAACATTACTACCTACCTAAATTTTAGACAATGAACAAAACATAGAATCCCTGAGGTTTAATACAGAATTTAGTAATTGGTTTGATATCAAAAGTCATGTGATCGATAGTAGCTTCTTAAAAGCATGTTATTGTAAAACCCGATTTATTTTAACTACAAAAGCCGCAGTATGAGAACACGCATAGGCTAGTTAGCTAGAAACAATATGTAGGCCTTTAGATATTAGATAAACTTACTGGTAGGCCTATGGATTCGTACCACAGTTCCATCTGTCTAGAGGTTAGGCCTAGGCCTAGTTGGTTATTTTTCTTGTTTAGGCCAAGGTTTGGGTTGGTTGAGCTCATTGCTTTTATATACGGCTGAAACTTGATCCATGTCTTGATGGTTAAGCTTAGGGTTGGCCTGTGGTACCGATAACCTGATTTAATAGAGAGGATTTTATCTACCTAACTTAAGTGTGTGTCCACCTATCTGAGTGTCGTTAACATAGGCCTCCATGAAATATTATTCAACTTACGTAGGCCTAGGATAAAACGTTAAAACAACCAAATTTCATCAAAACTAACATTTACATGGGTTAACTTATCAGGCTAACAGACACACATAGGCTAGATAATTTAGACCTCTAAACTTGTATATAGGCCTAAGTTAAATAAAATAGGCCTAACTAACTTGGACCTAGATAGGCCTATAATAGGCCTTAACTTATGTAAGTTAGGGGGTACTTACCGTCAAACGGGGCTAGGCCTACTTTGTAAAACTTTTTTTGATTTTTGGCTGTACGGTACTTAACTTTTTTGTTTTAAGAGATAGGACCATGAGAAAAATTCCAAATTGTGCATTTCTGTTAGTTTTTTTGAGTGCTAATTATACATTTGAAAAAAAATCTATATTAACTTACTTATTTTTGTCCAATACTTTGGCAAAAAAAAAAAAAAAAAAAAAATGGTGGCTATCAAGTAGCCCTGCTATGGGACTACTTTGTATTATGAACTTTAATGCCATGTCACAATGTAACCACTGGTTAAAGGGGTTACTTTGATACTTCTATTGAAAGCTGGGTTTATTAAATGATTATTTTGGTATGACTCTAGTTGTTCTACCTTGTATAGTTTTAGCGAATTTCCCATATAGGCTAGGGAATAAGCTATTAGGTACCGTAGTACTCATGGTAAGACCTGGACCCGGGACGGATTTACTTTTTCGTTTTGAGGTCCCTAGAGACCAAAAACACCATCCGTTCAAATTCATATAGTCTATAAGTTATATATATATTTATATAAGTTAACTTATGTGTCCGTTAGCGCGATAACTGGAGCAAAAATCATCCGATTTTTATGAAATTTGGTACAAACGTGTAAACCTACGTTTATTCGAATGAGTTCGCAAACCAGCATGATTGGACTATGGGAACAGGGGTTTACGGGGGGTTTTATGGGGTAAAAATTGGGTTTTCCCATTTTTGACCCTAAAAACTTAAGTTAAGATTTAGCTATTTCTTTCCAAACCATTTTGAAGAGCTTAAAAAACCAAATAATTTAGTATTGAAGCGTTTCTATGCGCCTAATGGTTTGGGAGAAAATTCCAAAAATCTGTAAATTTAAAATTCCTATGTTATTCTTATGGAGAATAAGTAAACTGTTGTAGTTTGCTTGTTTATGAACATATTTTGATCAAATTTGGAAAATGCATTTATTTCATACTAAACTATTACATTTTACAAAAAAATACCTTTTTACCCTCCCTGTTGCAGCAAACCTAAGTACTCGTTAAACTAATGTTATTTAACACGTTCGCTACTGAGCGTCGCATATATGCGACGCCGCGGTCATTGCCACAGACCGAGGTATAGGCCTACATTTGAATCCTACACATAGACCGACTGTCACTTGGATAACAGTACACACAGACCACGGGCGAAAACCTGTAAAACAGCGATCATTTACATTGTAATACGCTACAATGGGGTTTGTAAATAAATTATTCTTGTTTATTTGTATTTTTTATAACCTTTTGTAATGTCGCATTGCGACGCCCGGTCTACAGCGAAGACAATAATGAAAATTATCATAGTTTTCTTGAAATAGACTAAACGTCGCACATATGCGACAGTTCATTTTTTTGTGTTTTAAGGTGAAAGTAAGTAAAGAAATAAACAGATTATTCAAGAACAGTTTATAACTGTACAAATATAAAAGCTACATAGGATAATGCAGCATAGGCCTACATACTGCATACATACATACAGTGATGCAGAAAAGTAAAGACCAGTTTTTCCAACTATTATATGACGCCACCAATCATAATATCCACAGACCAAGCGACGCAGTTGTGCGTCAGTCATCTCTGTAGACCACTGCAGGGAATTCAGTGCCTTCAAATAGACCACTACAAAGATATAAGCATTTTAATAACATTAGAACCCCGACGCATATATGCGACGGCAGTCCATGGGTGGAAACCGACCGTCGCATATGTGCGTCGCTGGTCCATGTGAATGGAAAATTTCGTACTATTGCAGTAGCGAACGTGTTAAATATGGAATAAAATGTGATATTTTTAAGGAGACATTTTAGTGTAAATCCAGTCAGGCAAATGGAAATTCGCTTAGTCTGCAGGTTTGCTGCGGCGGGGGTATTTGATCTACGACAGGTTTTTTAAAATGCCGTTCCGAGATTTCCGAACTTTACAGAGGTTTAAAAAAAAATCATATCCAACCTAAAACAAAGGATTAATGTGCCAACAAAACCAGTTTTTAGTGTAAAAAAGACTAGAATTTAAGGAAAAAATTAGTAATAGTATGTACAAGTACGTCTTGTAAGTTATTGTATTTTGTCAAAGCTGTGAAATAGTGCTCCGGTGTCAAAGTAGCCCCGGTTGACGGTACACTTCCATATCTATTGGTACAAACAACCGAATGAGTAATATAGATTATTCGATTGTTTCATTCGATATCGTTTGGCTAGTTAGGTTAGGTTAACCTTACCTAACTAACCAAACCGATCGATATTTTCATTCGTTTGTTTGTGCCAACAGATATGGAAGTGTTCCTAAGTTAGGCTTTACCTTTTTGACTATTAGTACAACTAGACATTACATCCCCATGTTAAATTTGTAGCTGTTTTAATATTTTCTTGGAAAACAAAAATATATTCTTAATCAGATGTCATTCGTCATTGCCGTCGCCTATGATGACATGCCGGATGACTAGATGAGCATTACGGCCTGTTAGTATTATCTTGCTTAAAGGCAAAGTGTTCATTCATGAAAAGGTTTTAGGCTCAACAACTAACAATTAATATTCAACCTTGACTTAAGATAAAATCTAACAGTCTTGAGTCTTAAGCAATGGAAGGTTTTAGGGGGCCACTACCAGTAGTGATAACTTAAGTAGGCCTAACTTAGCTAAGTTAGGCCTAACTTACACTCAAGCATAGACTTAGGCTATGAGTCTCACATAGATCAATCTGAGTCATTATAAAAATGACCAAAAATAAGTTAGGTTGGATTAGGTTAGCTTAGGATAGGTTACGTTGGGTTGGATTAGGTTGGGTTAACTAAGTTGAGTTTTCATGGCATAGACAGTTACTTACCTACCTTAACGGTGACAAAAACTAGTATTTAAGTTCAGTTTGGTTATTCTTTGTATTAACCCTGACCTGTCCAATACCTTAAGGTGAAGGACTAACTTAACTTAGGGACGGAGAGATCATGTGGGCCTATCATGTACCGGTATGTATGTGTGTACTTAGTCTAGGTTGGGTTAGGTTAGGTTATCAATAACTTGGGTATTGTTAGCAACCTAACGTAACCCAACCTAACATAACCCAACCTAACCTAACCCAACTTTTCCTAACCCAACCTAACATAAGCCAACCTAACCCAACTTAACCTAAACCAACCTAACCTATCCCAACCTATCCTGACCCAAACTAACCTCTAGTTTTGGTAATTTTTGTGTAATGTTATACCTTTGTTGTCTGTTCCTGCTTGAAGTAATTTAAAACCGACACAATGATAGTTTTGGCTTGAGTTGTAAGTAAACCATGTTTTCCACTTGATGGCGGCATAGGCCTAAGTTATTTGTTCACAAAATAAAAAAAAAACACACACACAAAATGAATCAAAACCATTTGAAAACCATTTTAACTAGTGTAGAAAAAATAATAGAAAACTATAATTTTTATTTACTTGTTATACTACTTAACTAAAATCTCTCCTACACCCTGGACAACCAAAACGACAGCTCAGTTTGCTTAATCACCTACCCTTTCATGGAAAAACATCAGCGAAACACTATACGATTTGACATCCTCAAGTTCATATCTCAACAGGTTCGCTGCCCTTATGTCCTGTAATATGCAAACTGAATGAAAATTTAGGAGAGGGAAAAATTAAAGTTTAGGGTACTGTGATAAAGAAAAATGTAAAATAGGCCGAGTGAAAATTCAGTAAAATGTTGTAAATAGGCCTATTATTTTAATAACTGAATTGGCATATGGAGTTGCCTATTTAATTGTATTTTTAATGATTAAATAGTGTAACATAGTTTTCCAGATGCTCCCATTTTTCAAGGTTCTGTACGGTGTACAAAAAATGATGCTGTCTGAAGGTCTGAATGACCTGCGGCCATTTGTTAATTCTTAATTGAAACACATTGTGTTTTATATAAATCTCCTTACTTTTTTTAGTACTTTACAAATATTATATTTAGTCTATATGGAGGTATTATGGAAAAATAGCAATTATATTGGATGTGTTAGTTGGCGACTTGTTAAGGAAACAACTGCGAACGCCGGGGGGAGATAAGGACCGACCCGGGTAGCTGATAGGTCCGTGCGCCAACGTACTGTACTCATACTGTAATTCATTTTGAACCACTAAAACCCCATGTTCCATGGTCCGATCATACTGGTTTGTTTACTCTTTTTAATAAACTTACAATTACATCTTTTCACCAGATGTCATGGAAATTGGATGGTTTTTGCTCGAGTTATTGTGCTAGCTAACGAACATAAATATATGAATTGGAACGGATGGTGTTCTTGGTTTCTGGGCACATTAAAACAAAAGAGTAAATCGGTCCGGGTCCAGGTCCTCCATGAGATGTTTATAGCTTATTTAGCTTATGACGGAAACTTGCTACAAAGGAGGAATAAGGGTGGCTATGGGGATGGTAGAGGCAATATTAAATAATAAAGAATAGTTTTTTTACTCTTGATAAATACTTATATCTAAATAATATTAAGAGAACTCACAGTAGGCCTACCTAAAATATGCCGTGGTTAGGGAAATCAGCAGTTAAAATGTTCAGGGAAGGTTAGACAGTTTACTAAAGTTATGTTTGTGGGAACCCTGCTTTTTTAAGCCTGTCAATGGCGGAGCTAAAAACAGCCAAAACATATGTAGGCCTAGCAAGTAAACTTTTTAATGGTTTAAAACTGAGCCAAACACTCCTGGTTAAAGAAACAGCGTTGTTCTTAGTCAGTAACAAAGCTTCACATACCTTGGCACTCCTTCCACATGGTTTTCATTGTATGGTTTAAAAACTGTACAAGTAATTTTTTTTGTATAAAAGAGAATGGGAGCTATCACACCAAACGGATAGGGTGGCCTTTCAGCCATCCACTACCACTGAACCGGGTGGTTGTCGCACAGTGGCTGTCCGCAGTGGTTAATTATATTAGATGTAAACTTGCGTTTTACACGGATTTAATTTAGCAGAGCCAATGCAAGTAGATCAGCTGTTGCAATATAAAAATCAATTTCTCTTTATTCATTCACAGTACAAGTTTTTATACAATGAATAGTGTCAAATAAATTATAAAGATAAATTACTCCTTAGCGATAAGGCTAAAACAATCAATCTTACAAAACAAATGTTAAGCTTAACAAGACTAAATAAAACAAAATTAAATTAAATCAGCTTTTTAAACTATAATTTATGATTTCTCTTGAATTCCAAAAATCATCCAAAGAATACAAAGATAATGAAAGGAGATAATTTTTCAATCTTTTTCATGGTTTCATTGATTTCATATTTTGAAAATAATTCGGAGTGTTTTTTTTTATGATGAAGAGAATGACTTCTGACATCATAACTTGAAATTTTGTCCAAATTTTACTTGGTAGTTCCTCTATTAATTGCTGTACTATAAGATATGTGAGAATTTATTATTTCAAAGTATATAGACAATAGACAATAGACAAAATCTTTATTGAAATATTCCTAGAGAACATTCATGCGTCAGGTACATAAAATGTACAGTATGTACGTAAACTATTACAGTAATTTGCAATTACAATTAGAATTTTTTTCTTCTTTTTTTCATGGTAGCTTATTGTTTAAGAATTCATCCTCAGAGTAGAACGGCCGGTCCAACAGCCATGTTGTCAGGTGCTTCTTGAGCAGATTGGGTTGTTCTCTCTTGAGGTGCTCTGGTAGGTTGTTAAAGTACAGAGCACCTTTGTAGGATGGTTTCTTCTCGTACAGACTCAGATGGTGTTGTGGGAGGGAAAAATTGGCGGCATGTCGTGTGTTGTGCTGGTGTATGTCTCTGTGTCTTGGCTGGGCTGTTTTAGTGGTGTGGATAATGACTTCTCTTATGTAGAGTGAAATTGATGTGAGAATTTTAAGGTTCTTGAAGGCTTCTCGGCAACTGTCTCTGTAGTTCAGGTCGGCAAGGCATCTAATTGCTCTTTTTTGCTTTAGGAGTACTCTTTCCAGGTTGCCTTTTGATGTTCCACCCCAAGTCGCAATGCCATATCTGAGGTGGGACTCGAATAGGGCAAAATATGCAACTTTGGCTACATCTGGGCTGCAAGCTTGCTTGATCCTACGTATAACGTAGAGACTTGAACTTAGCTTTTTGCAGAGCTGGTCTATGTGGGGTTTCCATGATAGCTTGGAGTCAATTATGATGCCTAGGTATTTTGTGGTATTTTGTGTTTGTAGTCCCGGTATATGGTTTTTAAACATAGGTAAGCTGTATGTAACATGCTTATCCCAATTTAGGTTTTGATCCAATATCAATCTGAAAAATTTTGTGTACCGTACTCTACTTGGCTCAAGATTGAATTATCAAGGTAAATATTCGGGTTCAATTTAGATCTTGATTGTTTTTTGGAGAATTATATAAAATTTGATTTACTGCAATTAAATTAAATAGGGCCCAAAATAGATCCCCAAATGTTTATCATTTACAATCTGACCTTTCAATTGGATATCCCCACTGTTTATGTTGATTGTGACATTATAAATTACTGATTACATTGTAATTTTGTTTTTAGGGGAAGATGATATCCAAGACCAAGACAACAACTCAAGTGACAGTGTTAAAGTGACAACAAAAAAAGTAGAGCAACAAGATACTCCTGGGGGTAAGTTTGTTTAAGGGCTGTCAAATATTGTTTTATTTATAGGCCTAAAGCTTTATAAACAAGTTATGAAAATTATATCTTGCACAGTTTTTGTTGCTGAGGGGCCTTTAAATAAAAAAAAGTAATACTCTAGTTTGTACCTGAACGAATATTGTTTAAGTGATTAAGTGTCTTTGAACATTTTGTGTGATGTCAAGACAAATTATTTGGATGGGCGTTGATTTTAAAAGTGACATTAACAAATGTATTTGTAGGTTTTCTAATCCAACACAGTAGAACCCCTTGAAATCTTTATCGAATCAAATTATCTCTATTTTATCTTTGTACATCAGTACATGACATTGTTCTAAGAAACAAGTAGCACTTCCACTGGTTTTTTAAATTTATGTATACATCAGTACATGACATTGTTCTAGGAAACAAGTAGCACTTCCACTGGTTTTTTAAATTTATGTAAATAAATTTCTATCTCGGTGTAATCAGGCAGTCTATTGTAAAATTTACCTCCACCATAAGTAGCTTAGTCTATGGACAGGTGCTGCGGTAGTACCCTGATTTCTAGTATTGTAGGCTACATTATAAGTGGCATTGTCAAGACGTGTAAGTTTATCCTTGGCAAAAGTTTCCATTCATCGCCTTCACTTAAGCACTATCTGCTTCCAAAATGCAGCACAGTTCATGTTTAAAAAAAACACTGTAATCCCATTTCATTGTCATTTTCCCCCTCAGATTAGGTTGAGCCTCTAACGCCTAGATGGACCTTACTAACGTTGGTAGCATTAAGTGAGTTTATTAACTGTTTTTTTCAACACTACTTGAAAACAAATATGAGATTTCTCTTTCTGTTCAATGAGTTCTATTGGCTACCTAATGTTAATTGGAGTTGGATTACCTCTCTTACAGTCGTTTGGTTTCGTCCTAGACTTAGTCTTAAGGGTTTATACTTTATGAATTAAAAAGATGTAAGTTCTATCAATTTTTCATTTCATTCAAAGTTACGTTTTTACATAATAACCTGACTGTTGTCTAGAATCGTCGTCCAATGGAGCTATGTCGTCATCACTGGGAGGGTCAAACATTCTCAGGCCGTCTGTCTTCTCTGCTGCAAACCATTCGTCAGCGTTCGGAGCGACTCCTACATTTGGCAGCTCTCCGCAGAAAAACCCATTTAGTCTGAGACCAAGCGTCTTTAGTGCAATCGGCAGCTCTGATAAAGACCCAGGTGAGTTTTTACCTCGGCATGAGTGTAAGAAGATTTTTTCCATTGTGTAATGGAAGCTGAGTGTTAAGTTAGCCAAATACCAAGGTTGCTAAGTTCGATTCAAAGCAGGATTGAATCTGGACAGTAGGTGAATGTTATTGGGCCGTCGATTAATGATCTGGCAACCGATTTATGTTAGTAGACCAGGATTTTAAGTGTTCGTAAAATAAAATTTGGAAAATGTCACTAGATAGAGCTTATAAAAACGTTATTTACAAAACATGCCTAGATTAAGTTTAAAAAAAATTAGTTTTGGAATAAAGTTATTCTAATTTTAATGACTGATTGTGTTCAATATAAACAATTCAATTCAATATAAACATAACATATTTAAGTTACCGCTTCTCCTAGAAATAATTATGTTGTCCTAAGATGGATTGTGAGAATGATGAGGCCTACTTAATTCTTAGGCTATTTAGTTATATCTTATTTGATTTTATTTAACTTACCCCCATTTCATCTCAACGGCAGAAAAATTACATTAACCATTGCCAAAAATCACCCACAGAAGCTAAAATTTAATCCAAGTTTTTAAGGCGATGATGCACATGAGCATATATTTAACTAAATATAAATGCAGAGTGATAAAGAGTAGAATATATTGAGGTTATTAAGTGTTGCTTTTCTCTGACTAAAATTAGTTGGATTGGTCAGGGTCATTTTATGCAGTTTCTCATAATCCATTACTGTTCATGAAGCCCAGTAATCAAGGGCAAGTAGGCATACTGTTCAAACCATCCAAAGCTCCTGATTTTTCTCAGCCGATTAAACCATTGACCCACTGTAAGATAATATAAAATGCTAATAAATGATGCAAGTAAAGAATGTGTTTATTATTCAACAAGAGTCATCATCACCACAACAACAAACTAAAATATAAAACATATGTTAAATGCAAAGGCATATGAATGACACTACATCTCCCCTTCCTCATTATATTTACTCATATCTTATTGGTGGTCTGATAGTTCTGCTCGATCTTCTTATTCCATCATTGTGGTTTGGCTGCACCCTCCTTCCACGGTAGACATCGTCAGAATCATCATTCTCTTTTCTTGGTAGGGGAATGAGATGCCATCTGTTTCGTCTTGCATCATTCCCATTACTCAATGATACTATGTAGGATCGAGGTAGATTGGTTGTTGTTTTAATGGTTCCTTTCGCACTTATATCTTTAACCCAGACTCTCTCTCCTACTGCTAAAGGTGGAAGTTCTTTGACGCCTCTTCTGTTGTCAAAGTTTTTCTTGACTCTGTCTCTTATTTTCTTGTCACAGTTTCGAAAGGATTCTATTTGATCTTTTCCAACCACTTGAAAGTCGTTGAGAGAAGGTAAAGTTGTTCTTAGTTTTCTACCATACAGCAGCTCTGCAGGTGATAACCCCGATTCCAATTTGGTGGTCCTGTAAGCTAATAGACCAAGATTGGGATCCGGACACTTAAGTAGAATCCTCTTGGCTATAGATACAGCGTTTTCAGCTTCTCCATTCGATTGAGGAAAGTGTGGACTACTAGTTACAGCTCTAAATCCGTACTCTTTTGCGAAACCTTTGAACTCGTCAGAAGTAAACTGAGTACCTCCATCTGTACGAATTTCTAGAGGGATCCCGTGTCGTGCAAAAATGTTTTTCATCCTTCCAATAACTGCCGCTGAAGTCAAAGTATTGAGTTCGATGAGCTCTAAAAATCGTGAGAAATAATCTTGTATTACCAAATACCAGTTTTGGTTACATTTCAAAATATCTGCACATAAATGGGTCCAAGGCTCTTGAGGAAGTTGTGTAGACATCAGAGGCTCCTTTCGCTGTAGTCTGTGTTCTATACATGTTGGACAATTTTCCACTGTAGTACTAATTTCTGTTGAACAGCCTGGCCACCAAACAGATTCTTGAGCACGCCGCCGACATTTCACTATACCCAAATGTCCCTCATGTAATCTTGATAAGATTTCTTTTCTCAAGGCCTTTGGAATGAACATCCTCCTTCCCTTAACAATTAATCCATCTTCCAAAGCGAGTTCATTGCGATACTTCCAGAATACCGAATTTTTCCGCCATGTATTCTCTTGGATGCATTTTAAGAGCTCCTGTCCTTCCGGGTCTTCATGTTGGGCATTCTTAATTTCCAACAGCCGTTTATCAGAACAAGGCAATGCATCAATTATGCTTCTTACAAACATTTCTTCCTCCAGATTCTCCGATCCATTGGTGAAATTTCAGGGCTTCTTGATAGTAAATCTGCAGTTACATTTTCTTTCCCAGGGATGTGAACAACTTCGTAGTCGAAATTTTGCAATCTCATACGAAAACGTTGCAGCCGAGAAGAAAGATCAGAGATCGGCTTTGAACCCATTATCTCAGTCAGAGGCTTATGATCTGTGTAAAGCTGGAACCTTTTACCAAGAATAAAGCTAGAAAATCTTTCGCAAGCCCAAGTTAAGCCGAGAGCTTCTTTTTCAATGGTAGCATATCTTGACTCTGTTTCTGTTAATGTCCTCGATGCAAATGCTAATGGACGCCAATCCTTTCCATCAAACTGCTCGATCACTGCCCCTAAACCATAAGATGACGAATCTGCCATTACACGGGTTTTCGCTTCTCTGTTGTAGTTGGCCAATACAGTATCATTAGCTACAACCTTCTTCAATTCCTTAAAAGCTTGTTCTTGAGGCTCATCCCAAGTCCATTCAACTCCTTTTTTAAGGAGACTTCTGATTGGTGCTGTTTTTTCAGCTAGATGAGGAACGAACTTCATTAATTGGTTTATCATTCCCAAAAACTGTCGAACCTCCGTTATACTCTGGGGGCTTTTCATGGCCAGAATAGCTTTAGTCTTCTCTGGGTCAATACTGACTCCCTGCGATGAGACAACGTGTCCGAGGAAAATCACACTTTCTACTCCAAACTTACATTTGTTTTTGTTTAACGTGATACCATTTTCTGAGAGTCTCTTTAGTACCAGTTTGACTCTGCTGTCATGTTCTGCTTCTGTCTTCCCCATTATCAAGATATCATCCGCTTGATTCACTACGCCTGGGATATCTGAAAGCATTTGACTCAGTCGGAATTGGAAAACCTCCGGTCCAGAACAGATTCCAAACGGAAGTCTCTTGAAGAAATATCGCCCGAATGGTGTAATGAACGTGGTGAGTTTAAATGAATCACTGTGAAGTGAAACCTGCCAGAATCCATTGGCAGCATCCAACTTAGTGAAAAGCTTACCTCCTTCCAACTTAGCTAGAGACTCATCCACTGATAAAAGCTGCAACAATTCTCTTTTCACATGTTGGTTCAATTATGTGTAATCAACAGAGTCTAATTCTACCATCACTCCTTGGAACCACTACTACGGGAGAACACCAGTCAGTAGGTTCAGTTACTGGTTCTATTACACCATCAGCAAGCATCCTGTCCAATTCATATTTAACCTGTTTGTGGAGTGAGAAAGCCACCCTCCTCGGTGACATAACAGCATAAGGTTTTGCATCTTCGTGCAGCCTAATCTTGTATGGATGATTCATTCTACCCATGCCCTCAAACACTTTTGGATATTGACTCTGGAGTGATTCACCATCTACAAGATTAACGTTAAACGTAAGTAACTCCAGTTTCAACAATGCATTTCTACTCATTAGAGGTGTACTTTGGGACGGCAAGACATATATGTCTTCTAATATTTGCTTATTGCCATACATAATTTCAGCTGAACAGACACCCACAACAGTCAATTTAGTCTGGCCCGGCCCAAAAAGAACTTTATGGGTTGGACGGATTACAAGTTTGAGGTCAAGTGCAAGTGTACTTCCCATAACAGAAACGTCTGCCCCAGAGTCCATCTTAAACTCTACTGGTTGACTATTTACCTTTACCACTACACTCGGACATTCACCCTGCTTAAAGTTTACTTCACCTAAATGTCCTTTTTTTGAATCAATCGAATCGTCTGAGTCAACTTCCTTAATCTCTTTTACCTCCTTCGGTTTGTTTGGACAACATTTTGCAAAGTGACCACGAAATTTGCACTTGGAACACTTTTCTCCAAAAGCAGGACATTCCCGAGGGCCATGAGTTGTTCCACAGCGACGACAGGAAAATGTTTTAGTAGTTTGAGCCACACGTTTATTATTATCAAAAGGTTTTGAACTTACCCCAAATACATCTTCCCTGGATGGTTTATCTCTAATTACAGCTTGCTGTTTAGACATTGCTTCTGCTTGACGTACTCTCGTGATTGCCTTATGAAGGGTCAATGACTCGTCTAATTGTAGAGACTCTGATAAGTTTTGGTTATGAACACCAATAACAATTAAGTCTCGTACCAAACTGTCCTTGAGCTGTCCAAACTCGCAACTTTCCGCGAGTTTGTGCAAGTCATTGACAAAAGCATCCACCGGTTCACCTGCACTTTGCCTATGTTTTAGAAATTTAGCTCTTTCGTAGACCAAATTTCTTTTAAGGCCTAAGTACCTCGCAAAGGCATTTACTACATCCTCATAACTTAACTCTTTTTCTTCGCCTAGTCCAAATGTTTCAAAAAGACCTTCACCTTCCTGCCCTAAAGTATATAAAAGGGTGCTTATTTGCTGGTGGTCCGGTTTTAGATACAACTCTGATGCCTGCCTGTAACGTTCAAACCGCTTAATCCATACAGGCCACATAGCTGGGTTGGTAAAATCAAATATTTCAGGAGCACTTAGTGGTGCCTGTAGACCTATCACTATTGGTGCTGGCTTTGATTGGGTACTAATCATTTTCATAGATTTATCAGAGCCTATTTGAAACTTACTTCTATGTCGTGGACCAACTGCCTCATCTCCAGAATCTTCAGATGTAAACTCGTCCTCTTCCTTTTTTGACTTTCTAGAAGATTTCTTGTTAGGTCTTGGCATGTTTTAAAGGTTTATTTCACAACCTGACACCATGTAAGATAATATAAAATGCTAATAAATGATGCAAGTAAAGAATCTATATATATAATACGTGAAGCCGTATTTTGTTAACGCAACTCCTCCCTTATTAGTGGACCAACTTCAACGTTTAAGGTGTCAAAAGATTCGTCTCAATATGTAGTTTTGCAATAAGGTTTTAGAACTGTAAAATTTCTACTCTTAAGGGCGTGAGACCCTCTCAAAGGTCGGGTTTTCCCCATAAGAAATACATTGAACAAATTTAAAAACAAAAAACAGCTGTTTATAAAAAGAAACGCATTAGCTCTTTGGGAGTAAATATTAATGTTTTAATATTCAGTAGGTTAAGACCAAGTTAAACAGTTAATCAGTTTTGTTGGAAGAACGGAAAATGCCTCAAGTTGAAAGAAGAAATATTGAATACGGGTGGAGGAGACAATTAATAATAAGGTATCTTATGCGTATGAGGAGAGTAGAGAAAGAGAAGCCTGATCTAAAAGATACACATCCATATACACATGCACTTGGTGAGATGAATAATATTTGCCAGTTCTGCTATGCAACTTACTTTGGAAGTGAAAAAATATACTAAGCACATAGTGTTGTCACGGTTGTAAAAAAAACTTGCCTAATGGCATATCAAATGAATGTATGCAAGAAATGTTTACTTATGACACTGACAGATCGAGATATTTCAAAACATTTATTAGAAACCATAATAATGCCTTGAGTTGATAAGTTCAAGTAGTAAGATTATATCAAATCTTGGCGGAATTTATGTTTTTTTGTAAACTTTTGTGTTACTCGCTCTACTTTAATTGAGGAAAAACACAAATGGATTGTTTACTTCTAGGTTATGTTGCCAGTTCCTCGGACAAACGCCTAAAACGTTTTTTGACTGAATTTTAGTGGCAATATTAGACATAAGTGAAGGAGTTAGTGTTTATGTATTCAACGATCAAATAGTTACAGTCAAGTTTATTTTTATGATTCAGGAGAGGCAAATAATATACGCTGTTCAAAAAGAGAAAATGAAAATTGCTATCCAAATCTTATAGCTACAAAAGTTTATCCAACCTATTTCGACAAATGAATCCATACTTTCAAAACTTTGTGACAGGTATTAAGAGAAACCCCGCTGAACAACGTGAGGACGTTCTGAAGCGGGGCATATACTGTGACTAACACACAACACGTTAAAATATGTTAACAAACTATCAATGGTGTTGCTGCTTTAGCCTATTCAAAGCATATTATGGCTTTCCAGTTGATAACCCAGAGTTCGTGGGTAAAAAATGGAGCACATTAAATGGTTGATATCACCCTACTTTTCAGGATTCTCTACGGAGAAAATTTGTTTGATTAGGGGGAATGACTAGGCAACAGTTTTCTTCAATTCTCAATGTTGGAAAAACTTTGTTGCAACATGTTAGCTCGAATTGGAGCAGATCGTTTAGCATTCATTAGAAGCTATCAGTTAAAACTGAGAGCAGAAATAATGCAGGTGAACCTTGACGACGCAAATAGAGATATTTAAAAATAGTTTCTAACAAGTGTTTAAACAACTCTAAGATGTAGGCCTAACTAGAATTACTCTAATTTAAGCATAACGTTTTCGGTGTTATGTTTCATACTATGCGTCTAGTGTGTTTATTATTCAACAAGAGTCATCATCACCACAACAACAAACTAAAATATAAAACATATGTTAAATGCAAAGGCATATGAATGACACTACACCCACTAACCACCATTGACCATTGATAACTGCCTACTACTAATAATTATCATAGTTCTACATTCATTCAGATAAGTATCCTTACCAGAAGCCTGAGTAGAGTTTGGGACTTATTTTAACAATTTTGATATTTTACATATTGTAACCCTCAAAATGCGACTTTGCAGGATCCAAAAAACCAGTCGTATTGAAAGCTTCACAACTGGAGTCAGCGACGGGTCCCTCGGTCAGCAGCAACACAACTGACAGCACAAATAGTTCGTTTTCTTTAAGCCCGGCCAAACTGAATAACCCTTTCTTCAAAGCAACAGGTAAGTCAACAGTTTTCCCTCTAGTAGCTAATGTTTTTTCAGTCATTCGCCTATTGGGTCTGATGACGATTGGAGTGTCCAATCGAAATCGATCACCATCTTTTTTGTATATTTACCGTCTTGTGAGTAACAGTATACGCGTAAATATATGTTTTAAGACGTTTCTTTTATTTACTTTCCGTAATGTTTTTTCATCTCTTTAAGCTCAGATTTAAATTTTCTGCAAGAATAAGAATCCTTGTTGATAGCTGCAACAAGATAGGCTATCAACATTGTCTAAGCTATTACCTTTAACAGGGTTAAATATTTGACTGTACCATTCATATCTCTGCAACTATAAAATTTAGAAAAAACTTATTCAGGAATAATTGATCCATTCGGCACCCTGTTCAGATTATAAACAGGGTTTGTAATGCAGTAAAATTGCATTTACATTTATGGTCATATATTGCTTTTGTGATCACGACAACATCACCGTTTTCCAAAATGACGTTAACATCAATCATCTAATGTGATCCTTGATAATCTACTGCAATTGTGGCAACACCCAACATGGACTATTGGCACCATTCAAAATTTTCTGACCACAACAATTCATGTACAATCCCTGGATTTCCCGGTTTCTCCTTTGGTTGGGAAAGAATAGTATTTCAAAGCACACCACTTTGTTTTAAATTTAAAAACAGTAACCTTTTTCCCGAACAGGCGGTTTGGGTTAGCTGGAGGTTTGAATTAGTGGTAGGCCTACTTTGGTGCCGATTCATATTGAAAATATAGCCTACTTAGAAAACTATAATTTATTTCTTAATCGCTCAACTAATTCTTGTTCTGCTATTTCAGACGACGGTGACACAGTGAGCAGTTCTCTATCAAGTACACCTGCCAATAATGAGGATTCCTCTAAACCTGCAGTCAAGGTTAGTTATGCAGAGCATTGGTTAAATTGTTTAGTATATGCTCGAATGAATTTATTCTTATGTAAGTTAAATTTACAACAAATGGTATCACAATCAATAAATGCTACAGATAAATGAGATACCTTGCATGAATAACTAGGAAAGAGACAAAATGGATCATTTAAATTATTAGTAAAAAATAGCATCAGTATAACATTCTGTAAATACTATTTCCTTTTGAGATAATACAGAAATCATTGTAGAATTCAAAGGATTGTAGTAGCAGCTCTGTTTCGCTTGGTGGACATTTAGTAGAGTCTGATTCTGTACGCAATGAGGGGAAGAGCTTGAATTCAATCACATTTGAGCTAATTTTTCATAATTGCCCAACTTAAATTTTTGGTAATTCTGAGCAATTACTTGGTCAACCCCATACTTAAACATATTTTACTACGGTCATAAGGATGTTGTCAGAAAACAAGAAACATACAATTCAAGCCCTGCAAGGCCATCGTACAGGTTGATAAGAAGGTTCAAAGTCCACGTGATAACAGTGCCTTGCGGGAGACGTGCGGAAGGCCAGTTGTGACAGTACTGGTATGTTAGGTTATGTTAATTCATAAACTAACCTAACCTGACCTAACCTAACCTAACCTTGCGGGGCTTGAATTATATGTTTCTTGTTTTCTGAGAATATCCTTATGGCCGTAGTAAAATATGAAAAAGTTTGGGGTTAACCAACTAATTGCTCAGAATAACCAAATTTTTTGACTGTCTTTTGTAAGAAGTACTCTTTCCTAGGCAAGCCTGCTGCCCAACAAAATCCTATTACTGAATGAGGCTATGTTTAGATTTGTTATTTGAATCTAATAGGCCTAATTAATATGCTATCCACTGGACATTTTATCTTTGCGGAATTGCGGATTATTCACAGACTTCTTAGCCTAAGTTACTCTTTGATTTGAAGTTACTTATTGATAATATATTGACCTCAACTACATAAATTGTTCTTTATGTAATTTGTTGCAATAAATTCTTGATTCTTGATATAAATGTATTTGTTCCTTTAAAATTAGATGGACGGCAAGACAATGCTGAGGTAAAAGAAGTTTTGTTTGTCCCTGGGTTGTGTACTAATCTTCTATCAGTAAGCCATATGGCTTTTGTAGCTAAATTGTATGTGTTTTGTAAATTTGTATTTTTCTAGAAATAAATAAATAAAAATTTAAATTTAAGTACTGGCAAAAAAGGGTAAAACAGTGGTTTTTTACTCCAAAAGATGTACATTGTATAAGAAAAAGTGTTGAAGCTTCTGCAAGTTTGATCAATGACACTTTTAGGTTAGTTACCATAGAATAAATGTAAACACAAATAAAAGCTGTATACAAGTATATAGTAAATTTATTTTCAGGTTGATAGTTCATCTTCAAATAGCTTACCTGATGTGAAGGTGTCGTTCGTTCCTCTGGCAGGCACAACTCCGCGGGTCGTGGGTCAAACTGCCGCTACCTCGTCTGTCCCCAGCTTCGTCTTTGGCCAGAATCTTCACGAGAGAGTTGTAAGTGGCTGTCTGTAGAGTCTATTATTGGAATGTTAAACTGTTAATCATATTCGGTAATGCAAAGAAAGTATTTTATTTTGTTCGATGGGTATTTTTTATTGTTGAACTTTCTTGTAAAAATGTAGAAGCTCTGTATTTGAACTTCTGCTTTTGACTGACACCCTAACTTTTACTAGGCCTACACATTCCGTTCCTATGATGAAGTGAGATTTTTAGAATTATAACTTAGATGAATTAAAATTGAGTTACTGATAAGAGTATATAAAGCTGTGTTAAATACGGTATCCTTTTTTATACACAAAGTTTTAACAGTAGGGACACTTCTTTGTAAACTAGACCTATAGGATCTTCTGTATCTTCACCAACTATTAAAGTGTGAAAACACATAAATGAAACATCACACATCAAAAGAGCCTCATTAAACTACATATTTTCTTTTGAGATAAAAGATTAGCTAAAGTTGGTTCATTTCAACTTCCACATTTGTTATGAAATTAAAAATATGAATTCTACTTTATCAAAAATGGCCCCCATTTTCCAGTATGGCAGCTAATTGTGTTAAGTTTGCTATGCACAATGCCCACAGTAATGTGTTAATAGGTTTTGGTATGTTTTAGGAGACTCATCGAGACAGTGAAACTAGTGATGGGATGGTCAGTGTAAGTAGATAGACTTGTACTTCTATCTTCTGTCTTGTGTTTTTGTACTTGATATTTTGTGTGATTTGTCAATAAAATGTTTTTGTCTGATCCATTTTTATTTATTTGTTTTTATTTTTATTTTTTTTACTTAAGAATTCAATCAGTTAATTTTTTGTAACTTTGGGAACTGCCAAGGTATTTGAAAATCCATCCTAATTATTACAATTCATCTTCTTAAAACAGGTTGACATTTTTTTAAATGTTGAATTTGTACCTACATGGGCATCAATTGCCTGTGGAAAGCATCAATTGGTAAACTGAACGTGAATTTTAGTGTCAAATTTTAAGTGGCAGCATACCACCCACAACATGACCCTTAGTTTTACAGTTTGTAGTGCTACCAACTGATCCACCAATTCACAAACTGCTAAAACCAAATATTTTGGGACTAGTATGGTATCCTTTTCATTTTCACCCCTTTAACCTTGATGGATTGAAAACACTATAAACTGTTTACAAGATCAAATGTAGGGTTTTTGTTGTTGTTAAAAACTGTGAAGGTGTTATGGTCTAGAACCTAATCCAGGAAATGTTTCAAGACTGAATCATTTAACGAGAGAATTTCACTTTTTCTTTCATAGAATTTATATTTTGATTTCTCTAACAACAGCCCCCTATGGTTTCGGTAGTTTATTTGATTACGTAAATTTCTAAAAAAGTAAATTTCTGCTCTAGCCTGATAGAGTGAATAGTTAGTTTTCAAACCCTGTACTAATGTAAATATTATTTATACTCAAGGGCTAGCTAATGATTGGGAGCAAGCTGGTCTAGTGGTAATGCATGGGACTTTGATTCCTGAGGTCCTGGGTTCAACTCCTGGCAACTACCAAAGAGCTTTATCCAAGTGATAATGCCACGGCCCATTCTAGTCCTAGCCTTGAGTAACGTAAAAAACAATCCTGGGCTAGAACATAGGAAAAAAGGACTAACTTATGGTTGTGATTTTCAATTAACGCTAACTTATAGGCCTATTGGCTTACAAGGAAGATAAACAATAAAACTAATTTATAGGTTTTGTTATAATTTTTTTTGTGATTGCCTTAATAAACTAAAATACTCCAAGAACCAAAGGCAATCACCAAATAAAAGGTAACATGATTAAAACGTTCTTTAAAATGGGTAGTAATACTAGTTAACTTAGGTGACACTAGTTTCAAGATGCAAGGATTTTACTAGTCTTTAACCAGACAAAACGGCAGACATGACATCTCTTTAACCGGAAATTTTGTATCAACACATTGGTTTCACCGGACTAGATCGACAGGAAGTGGTTGGTACTGAAACGACTGTTCTTGTAGGAAAGATTTGAGACCAGTGATTACATGTCTAAATACAATGCTCTCCTAAATTTAAGTCAAATTCTGTTTACAGTATGCATTTAAACAGAGTGTTTTAACGAGTTTTTGGGGACGTCGGTTTAACCGGAAAAACCATTATTCAGATTGGCCTCGGTCCCAAGGAGTCCGGATAAGAGGGAGTCTACTGTACATAATGTTGCATTTGACGTTGCCAGACACTAAAACTCAAACTCTTTAAAATTAATCCGTCTAAAACTAGATATTTAATATTACAAACTACAAAGTAAATAATTTATAATAAAAACACACTACTCTTGTCAGTGGAAACACCCTATGCAGAGAAGTTCTTTAAGCAAGACACGTATGGAGAAACTTGGGTATACAGGGCTGCATGAAACACATGTGACTTTTACCGTGAAGACTTCTCTTAAATCGGTTGGATTGTATTCCTGCGCTATGAAGATGTTCTATAGTAATTGTGCGCTTGAACAGGTTTTTTGAGGTTTCCAAAAAATAACACATTCATATAATAAACAAAAGTTATGTTTGCTTTGCCCAATTTGTGTAAGATTTTAAGCTAAATAAACACAAATCTGGATAGAATAAAACGAGAGCTAGCCCTGTGGTCGAAAACTTGACCAAAACTATGTATGTATTGTGCAAACTTCTCAATTTTCACCCCATGGTGTAAATAAAACATGTGATTGGAATTTCTTCCATTTGTTTTGATTTTCTGTTTATATTTTGTTGTTATTTTGTCACCAGCATGGCAACCCATAAAAATAATAATAATTTTTTAAAATTTCAAATTCATTTTTTGTGCTTATTTTTAAGCTTATTTTAATTTATAAAGGGGTTCTGCACATCTACAGGAAAATATCTTTCGTTTGGTTTGGTACTAACTGCATGTAATTCGGTCCAGTAGTACGGTCAGGCTAGCAGCCATTAGTTTTGCGAAAGATTTTTAGCATATAAGATTATTTTTTTTTTTTTAGGATGCAAACTCCTGTGACAGTGAGGTTTCAAAAACAAACGGAACTTCAGAAATGCTCTTTACATCTGTGATTCAACGAGAACTACCTGAAAAGCAATCCGTAAGTTACTACAAATAGATAAAACGTGTAATACTAGTTTTACTTTATATTATCTAAAAATAAGTTAGATCATTGACTATTGGATACTAAAGGTTAAATTATGCTAACTATATGAAAAAGAAGAGTCACTTGAAGAAAAATGTAGACTACACTACATGGAATTTGACAGAAAAGAATTGATATGTCAAACTCTATTATGAATACATAATTAATATACTTCCTTTAGAAGTAGGGATGGTCTGGATTTTACTTTTGCACGGGATTGAGACAGGTTTTCTCCCTCGGCAAAAAGGGTTTGTTTCAAAATCCTTTTTAACCATTAGTTCTTGCAAATGACAATTACAAACAACATCAATCTCGAGTCTTTAAGGCACTGCTCTATAAAAACTAATCGAACACAATAGGCCTACATACAGTTAAAAATAAAAATAAAATATCTGCGCAAATTATTTATTGAACATAAGTTATTGTAAAAAAACTGTGCTTGCTAATCACAACAAGTATTTAGGCCGACTATCACTGCATTAAAAAAAATATATAGTGTCCTAAGGCCTGATAGTAGAAAAACAGTATAATACTACTCATTATAATTTCATCATGAGTCATGACTTGAATCCATGATCCCGGGGACTCCACCTTCCTTAGCGACAAAATCGAAGACATATTCTACTCTCAACATGACAAAATCACTGATGGTTGGAGCAAATTCCACCCCAAGGAAATCTAAAATTTACTGTAATTCTGACCCAAAGATTTCGGTATCCGTCCATCCCTATTTAGAAGGAATTCACTCTCCCTGTGGGATTCCCATAGAACACATGAGAAATAGACCCCCGCTCGTGTGAGAATCATTACTGTATGATATTTTATAGGGCGATTTTATCATTGTGATATGTAGTCAGCTAATTATAAATAAATTGGAAGTTTTATATTCATACAGTCCATGTTTTAAAATTATCATGATGTGATTCAAAATTCACTCACCAATCAAAAATATTCCATCCAGTGTTAGTAGGCTACACTGTAAAACTTTGTTGTATCTCTAGGAAGTAGGCAGTGATGAAAAGAAACGGAAAAGTCTCAGTGAAGCGGCACGAGAGTATGAAGAATCAAGGGCTGTGAAAAGGAAATATGAAGAAGTTGCTGTGAAAACAGGAGAAGAGGAGGAAATTAATATATTACAGGTAAATGATAGTTAATTGTATCATTGAGTTACTAAATACTTGTTTGTCAATATGTGTAGCCATATAAGAAGGTATCTAATCTATTTTTAAAGTTCAGTTTTGGTATTGCGGAAGTTTTCACTGACGTTTTGGGATCTGGAATCTTATCCTGTCCTCAGGTAAAAATATACCTAAATCATAACTAGCCTAAATTAGAAAGTACAAAAAACCCAGTTAAAGTTAGAAAAAACTATCTTGAAACATCATGAAAACTTTTGTTTTCTACTAATAATGATACAAAAAGTTTGTATTGATCTTTAAGTAACCTAACCGTCTTGTGTTCAAGTAAATTAATTGGGAACCTACACTTTTATTTATTTGGTACTGTTATGAGATATGGATCATGTTTAAATTTTCCAATGCTCAAAGACAGCTAGGTTTAGTTTATAACCATCAAAGAGCTAAGTTTACTGAGATCTTGAGTTAAAAGTAGACCAGCATTAACCACTCGAATGCACTTTAGCCCGAATTTGTTAGTAAATAAGCTAGGTTACTTGGGAGGTACACCAATATTTTTACTAGGTTAATGTTTACACTTTTAAGGAATGAGATTGGCATCACACTTATTGAAATTAAACATTTTCAGGATACAGTAGAGTCCCGCAAACTCGGCGTAATGTGGACTGGAATGGTGCCGAGTTTGTGAAATGCCGGGTTATCGGGAACTAAGGTTAAAAATAAAAACAATAAAATTTTTAAGCCTTTTACCTGCCTTCTTTATTTATATTTAGCCTATATTACAAGTCAGTATTAAGTCATCAGATAGTAGAACAAATCCTTGGAACAAGTTGCGGATGATTTGACTTGAGCTGGCTTGAGTCCATGTTGAACTCAGATTTAAAAAATCACTAATTTTCTGAGCTAGGTGATGGCCGAGTTATCCAGACTGCCGGGTTATCGAGTGCCGAGTTTGCGCGACTACTGTAGTTTGAAACATAAATAACAGCTGTGTGTTGCTTTCAGATAAACTGCAAATTGTTTGCTTTAAGATAAACTACAAATTGTTTTCTTTCAGATAAACTGTTAAAGGGATTGCTTTCATAAAACTGCAAATTGTTTGCTTTCAGATAAACTGCAATTGTTTGCTCTCAGATAAACTACAAATTGTTTGCTTTCAGATAAACTGCAAATTGTTTGCTTTCAGATAAACTGCAAATTGTTTGCTTTCAGATAAACTGCAAATTGCTTGCTTTCAGATAAACTTCATATTGTTTGCTTTCAGATAAACTGCAAGTTGTTTGCTTTCAGATAAACTGCAAATTGCTTTCTTTCAGATAAACTGCAAGTTGTTTGCTTTCAGATAAACTACAAATTGCTTTCTTTCAGATAAACTGCAAGTTGTTTGCTTTCAGATAAACTGCAAATTGCTTTCTTTCAGATAAACTGCAAATTGCTTGCTTTCAGATAAACTGCAAATTGTTTGCATTCAACAAGGACAAGTCAACGTGGGTGGAACGAGGGAGGGGGACACTAAGGTTGAACGACCTGTCTGTAGACAACAAAACACAGTCTCGGGTGGTAATGCGGGTATCTGGCAGTCTGAGAGTAGTACTCAATACTAAGGTACAAAATAATAATATGTAGTACTTGAGTGCTTAGTTAATTTAATTTAGATCGCAACCTCCTTGACACGAAAAATGCCAACAAAATCTAATGTTTTCAAAAGTTTAAAAAACATTCACTGATTTTAGGTTTATGGTGACTAACTTTTAGGGTGATCAGATGTTTATGGGACCATCAATTCCCGTAATATGCGTTTTTCAGATTCAGGATTGAAATCTTATTATTATAAGTAACTTAATTACATACAATAGATCCTACTAAGGCCTCAAAAAACACAATTTACAGAGATTATTGTGTAACACAGTAAAGTAGACTTTATGTTTTTTGACATATCTCGTCTGTTTAGAGTTTAGAATCAGTATTTTTTTTTAAATAAAAACAATTTATCCCATACATTTAAAAAATAAATAAACCTAATGGATAACTTTATGTTTTAGTTCCTACAGTTTTCTTATCGGTATATAGTAAATACATTAATAACAGGCATCATTGTTACAATGACGGAATAAATGGATTGTAAATTACAGTTATGAACCTAAGTATTACAAAAACTGACTTCCACCACATGTGTGTGAATGTGTAAGTCTATATTGTACTCCAGAATGTTCACAATATTATAATCCTCCTGCTCAAAGCAGAATCTTGTATGTAATCCTGAATTTATTTTTAATCCTCCAAACTTTTCAGATATGGGCAGAAATGGCTGTGGGTCGACCTAGTGAAAAAAGTGTAAGACTAACTGCGATGGATAGCAGCGGGGAAATCAAGGTGTTTCTTGTCATGGTGAGCTTGGAATGAGTTTTTTTAGTACAAAAAAAAAAAAAAAAAAACAATAAACATGTATACAAACTACTATTGAAATATATAAACTGTCCATGTTATACCCCTACCTTGTACCCAATTAGGTAGTATACTTTAATTTAGGATGAATCTAATTTAAGCTGGTAGTAGAAGTGAGATAAATTAAAAGACAAAGTAGGCCAAAGATGCATTTATTTTACGGATGTCAAATTTCTCAAAATACACTTTCCAAATGAAATTAAATATCCAGTTGTTACTTCCAAAAATTATACTAAATAATAAAATAGTGGAAAGATCTTACTTTAAACAGAGACACTGGTTTAATGGTCAGAACAGGCACTAGCAGATATCATGCAAACCAGAAGTGGTGCAAAAAGCTACTGGACCAATCATAAGAAGGTGAACAAGAAGTGGTAGTACCAAGAAGTGGTTGATTTCTGTCTGAAAACATCACACAAACCCAATAAAAACTATTCTCTATAAATTCTAATAATTAAAAGTAGATTTAAGATCTTTACAACTTCTTGTGAAAATGTGCTTCTCCTAGAACAAAACTCAACAGGTCTGTATAAACTTTACTTGTTTTCTTTTCTTGTGAAATGCATTAAAATTGATTTGAAAACTATTCTTTCCTTTTCATCTTTTTCCAAAAGTGATTTCTACAAAGCTATATACAATAAATCAGCTAAAATCTTATTACTAAACAATATTAAAACTACTTACAATTTTCTACAGCAACCACAACTTAGATGACCATATTTCCAGTGAACTTAAAACTGACAAAGTTGAACCTAGTTATCACTAACCACTACCAACCCTACAAAACTAAAACTTCTAAACTGCTGGTCACTCTTTCTTAATCTTTCTAGCCAATGATTAAATAATATTGATTTTGTTTTGTTATTTCAAATAAAAACTAACTACCATCGGTACAGAATTTCCCCTCCTTAACTTGAAATTACATAAACAAAATTATACACTCTTTCTCAAAATTAATATTTACATTTCCTTTTAAAACAACAACTCTACAAAAGAAAATAAACAAACCTTTTAAAACAAATAATAAAACTCTAACTCCGTTTGACATTTCAACTAGCGCTACCTATCAACAAATTCTACAAACACTAACTCCTAGTTCAAATAGCCTCCACACGTTTACAGCACCTTACAGAACCTTCTACTCAAAACAACAACTTCTATTTACACAATTTTTCATTTTGAACCATTTCATTTTCCTATGACAATTCAAATATTATCAATCTTATTTACAAAATTTATACCTTAAAATAAAACCTTTCTTTAAAACCCCCAATTACTTAAGCGATCTTAAACAAGCCTATTTAAATCTCTTTTGAACTCTTCACATCCGCTCACAGTTCACTGACCCCTCCCAACATCAACTCCAGACAAGACAAATAACTTTCACTTCTCCAGTTTAGTTTAGTTATGTCGTTTGCGTGTGCTGTGTTTTTCTTTAGTTTTCCCTTAATTTATTTATCCCAGTGTGTTATATTCCCTGTTTTTATGTTCCCTCGTGTGTTTCGTGTGAAGTGTTTTGTGTTCTGTGTTATTTTCCCTGTTTACAAGTGCAAAATTAATCAAAATGTTATTGTGCGTCCTTTAGTAAAAATCCCACTCATACACTACGTTCAGACTCCATTTTAGATTCATACAGATTCATACTACCTTTTGCTGCCACAAAAACTCACACATTCACCAATACATACACATTTATACACTCTCTTACTAAAAACACTTTAAAACTTTGAAAAATTCTTAAGAACCTAAAACAACTCCCACAGTACTAATTTACAAAATTCCAAATTCCCTCTTAGCTTGCTAAAATCCCTTAACTAATTAATATTTCAACTAAACAAATCTAACTTCTACTTTACAGACATTTCATAAACACCAATTTAGCTTCAGTCTTCCGTAATCTTCCATTTAATTCCATTTTTCACATTTCCTCTTCCATCAATACATTGGTTACTTTTGGTCCTCTTCACTACTTAACTCTTCTTTAAATCAATTATATGAATTTTCTTCACGTCTTCTAACTTGCTAGGATTTTGTACTAGTACTGTTGAATCACTCAGAAAATAGCGTATTACGTAAGGTCCAACGTATCTAGGTGCTAACTTCTTGCTGAATTTATTCGCTGCATTACTTAAATAATGTGTCTTGATGTACACTTCCATATTCAACTTAAACGGATGGTTTCTCCGAGGATAGCTATATCTCTCCCTTCTTTGATTTCTGGCAATGCTTCTTCTGACGTTATTTATGGCTTTCTCCAAATTTTCCCTCCTTTGATCAGGAGTTAACTTCTCCGAAATAATGTCATTAACATTCCATAAGTTTGTCAGTGCATTGTTACAAGGATGGGCAAACATTAAACCAAAAGCAGTCGATTTAGTCGAACTATTTACAGCAGTATTCAAACTTGTGGCAATCAGTCCCAGATCTGAATCCCATTTATCATGTTGATTACCATAAAAACTCCGTAAAGCATTATTAGTCTCCCTCAAATATCGTTCCGACAAATTTCCGTTTGCTCTGTACGCAGCTAGCTTTCTGTGTTCCACATAGTTATTGAACATGAATTTCTTAAATTCCTTGGATGTAAAATAACTCGCATTATCAGACACAAGTATTCGGGGTACTGAGAAACTATCAAAAATTATCTTCAATTTTTCTATGATGAATTTTGTCTTGCAATCCTTCAGAGGGTACAACCATACAAAACGGGTAAATGCATCGACCACAATTAAAATGTACTGATTGAGTTTATTTGATCGGGGAAATGGTCCAGCTAGGTCAATAAACACTGTGTTTAGAGCTTGAGTTACAGGAACAGATATCAATCGACCTTCAAACTTACGTTGTTCCGACTTAGACATCAGACAGATCTTACATTCACGGACTTTACCTTTTACGAATTCATTTAATTCAGGATGGTGAAAACTTTCATTTACTTTACTTTGAGTCCTAAAAATTCCCATATGACCACCAATTAATGAGTTGTGATAGAATGCGAATATTACACTAAACAGTTTCTTGGGCAAATAAATCTTCTTTTTAAACAATAAAACTTCATTTTTCAGGGTATAATTTTCATTATTAGTCTTATTCTTGATGCTTTCAATGATTTTCTTACACTCTTCATCGCTCTCTTGATGTACTTTAATGTCCTTAAGATCCAATGGTATTTCATTTAACACATTACAAAAATAGACTTCATTGTTGATATTGCTTAACAGATTTGTTTCGTGAATTTCCGTCTCACTCTCTTTCTCTCCACTAAACATACGTGATAACGCATCAGCTATTATATTCTCCGAACCTTTTACATGTTCAACTGTGAATGGAAGACTAAACAACCTTTCAAACCATCTAGACAATCTTCCACGGCTTTTTCGAGATTTGAGCATGAAACTAAGACCTTGACAATCAGTAACTAATTTAAAACTTCTTACTTCCAAGAATTGATGCCATTTCTCTACACACAATATTACACTATAAGCTTCCTTTTCGTAAGTGCTATAACGCATCTCAGTAGGTGTGAATTTCTTCGAATAGTAAGCAATAGGCATTAAATTCCCCTCCTCATTTCTTTGCAATAAAACACCAGCAGCTGCTAGGTCGCTTGCGTCGGTATGCAATTCAAATTCTTTAGAAAAATCTGCCATTTGTAGTATAGGCGGATTTGCTATCTTACTCTTTAAGGTTTCAAAAGCATTTTGACACTCCTCATTCCACTTAAATTTTACACCTTTCTTTTTCAGCGCAAACAGAGGTAAACATATTTCAGCATACTTTGGAATATATCTAGACCAATAACCACACATTCCTATAAACTGTCGCACTTGCCTCACAGTTTTTGGAGCAGGAAATTTCATTAATGAGTTAGTTCGCTCGGGATCTATTGTGATGCTATCTTGTTTAATAATATGTCCTAAAAAACTTATTTCCTTACAAAAGAATTTGACTTTTTGCGGATTTACCGTAAGTCCGTGTTTTGCTAATCTCTTAATCACTTCTGTAACGTGCTCAATATGGTTTCTCTTATCAGGGCTATATACAACTATATCGTCACAAAAGTTAATCATATACTGAAATTTGATGTCATTAAATATTTGGTCCAAATAATGTGATAGTACGCTACTGCCTATTTTCAATCCAAATGGAATTCTCTTCATACGGAATTTACCAAAAATTGTACTAAAAGATGTTAAATCTCTGGATTCTAAAGCTATGGGACATTGTAAAAATGCTTTGTTTAAATCTATGACTGTAAAATATCTAGCTCCTTTTAGATGCTGATACATATTCTGCATATCTCCTAGCGGGTAATCTACATTGATTAACTTCTTATTGAGTTCAGAGTAGTTAATTACAAGTCTGTCATCTTGAGTTAAAAATGCAGGGGCGCTATATGGACTAGTGGAAACTTCCGCGACATCTTGTTTTATCCAGTCATCAATTATAGCTTTCATCTTCTCTACTTTGGGTGGACTTAAAAAATAAGGGCGTATACTAACAGGTTTATCATCCGTCACTTTAAGCTCAATTTCCAAATCAAGTGCTGATCCTATCTTATCCGTAAAAACAGTAGGAAAATTCTTAATTAACTTCTCAGCTTCTTCACACATTTCAACATCTCCTACTTTAATACTACTTAAGCTTAATTCACTCAGGTTTGTACTTGGAATTAACTTAATTTCATCTTCAGGTTTAAATGTAAAATAACCCATTTGTCGATCCATATTTAGGTTTAACTTGCTTGCACACATAAAAGGGTATCCTAAAATCATTTCAAAATATTTTAACTCAACCACTAAAAATGTTTGTTTCCAGGTAAATGATTTTATCTTAATCAAAGTTTCACATTGCTTATTTATGTTCAAAGGTTCATTGTTTGCAGCAACTATGGTTCCCTGCCAAGTATTTTCACTCATAATTAATTTATTTCCCAATAATCTGTTGTATAAATCCAAGCTTATAAAGTTTTGACTAGCTCCAGTGTCTAACAAAGCTCCCACACTTAATTTGTTTCCTAAATCCACAGAAATACAGGGTAAATGTGTTACAGTTTTAGCTTTTACTTTCTTTAATCCAGGTGAATTTATTTTATTAAAATCCTTAACAACTCTTCTCAGTTCAGACTTAAAATTGGGACTATGAGAACTATATACAGGTTTATTATTTCCGAATTCTTTCTTGCCGTCCGGAAAAACAGATTTGTAGTCTAGGCTACGTGTTTTTCCTGGCTTAACTAGTTTTTTGGATCTGGTCTGTAACAATTACGAGCAATATGACCTACTCTTTGACATTTGAAACAAACAGGCCTCTCATTGTTACGATTTGAGTAGTGACTAATAGGTCGTTGAACTCCTGGATTTGGTTTATCCATCCTAGGCTTATCATCAGTTGATAGATAAGGTTTCCTAACACTACTGTTACTAACTGGAAAACCTTGATTTCTGAGGTAATCATTGTATGTTACATTATTTAAACTTATACAAAGATGATCTAAGTCTAAAAATGTTTCAGGGTTCTTCTCAAATATTAGTTTGTTGCGCAAATCAGGATGTATTCCATTCTTAATAAAACTAACAAGTTGACTCTCAGTCAAAGCACACTTTAATACCTGGTGGTTTATTTTTATTTCATGCACATATATAGACAAAGGTTCAAGGTGTTTTTGAGGTCGAAAAATTAAATCTTGTTTCAGCTTTTCCCTTAAGGTGATTGGCAAAAATGTAGTGATTATATTAGCATGCAACAAATCAATTGATTTTGATTCCCTTTTGAATTCTAATATTTTATTCACTAATGGTGCTGTAGAATAAATTGGTAGAATCTCATACAAATCTTGCTCAGATAAAGAAGTTTCATTACGGACAGTAACTAGGTTTCTCAAAAACTGCAACAATGTGTTTGTTTCTAAACCATTACACACAGGAAAATTTTTTAAATAAATTTCCAATGGGTTTGACAACTTTGTAAAAAGGCTACTAGGACTTAGGCTACTATTTACAACTGTACATGAGTTTGGTTGATTATTTATGACTTGACCCGGCACATTTTGTTGAAAACAATCAATCTCTACTCTTTGAGGTGTAGATGAAGTGAAGTTTTCAGTTGGTGGAACTACTGATTTAGACTGATTTAATTTTTCCCCAATTATTTCATTCTCAACTATAGAGTTATTCAGCTCCTCTTCAAAATCCCCCATCTCCTGGTCTGAGAAGGTATGCATTGTTTTAAATTGCTCAAAACTATTTAGGATTTGCTGATTTAATTTGTCTAAACTAATTTTCTTATCTGGTTCAAGCTTACATTGTAATAGATTAGTAGTCCGGTTTTGTACATGCACTAGTTTTGCCTTGATTTTAGCTATTTTGAGTTTAGTCACATTTTCCCTACACTGTTCAATTAGAGAATCAATTTGTTCACACTTTTCCCCAATTATAGTTATTTCCCCAGATAAAGTGTATGAACCTTTTAAATTTGTTAAATCGGTATTCTGGTTAATACAAGATCTTAAAGTTTTTCTTAAAGAGTCTACATCACTATCACTCGTTTCTTCCCCTCTTATTCTTATCTCGTACAGAAGTTCTTCTTTGTTTAGATAATTTAAATTGTATTTTGACATGTTGAAAATTTTCAGCCTCTACTTGTTTGCTGTAATTCTTCTAACATAGGCATAATCCTCAATAATCATGTAGGCCTATGTATTTCTCACTTTTACCAGCTTCTAATTTTAAATGATTCATTAGCAGAGTCGCGCACTTGTATACCCCTACCTTGTACCCAATTAGGTAGTATACTTTAATTTAGGATGAATCTAATTTAAGCTGGTAGTAGAAGTGAGATAAATTAAAAGACAAAGTAGGCCAAAGATGCATTTATTTTACGGATGTCAAATTTCTCAAAATACACTTTCCAAATGAAATTAAATATCCAGTTGTTACTTCCAAAAATTATACTAAATAATAAAATAGTGGAAAGATCTTACTTTAAACAGAGACACTGGTTTAATGGTCAGAACAGGCACTAGCAGATATCATGCAAACCAGAAGTGGTGCAAAAAGCTACTGGACCAATCATAAGAAGGTGAACAAGAAGTGGTAGTACCAAGAAGTGGTTGATTTCTGTCTGAAAACATCACACAAACCCAATAAAAACTATTCTCTATAAATTCTAATAATTAAAAGTAGATTTAAGATCTTTACAACTTCTTGTGAAAATGTGCTTCTCCTAGAACAAAACTCAACAGGTCTGTATAAACTTTACTTGTTTTCTTTTCTTGTGAAATGCATTAAAATTGATTTGAAAACTATTCTTTCCTTTTCATCTTTTTCCAAAAGTGATTTCTACAAAGCTATATACAATAAATCAGCTAAAATCTTATTACTAAACAATATTAAAACTACTTACAATTTTCTACAGCAACCACAACTTAGATGACCATATTTCCAGTGAACTTAAAACTGACAAAGTTGAACCTAGTTATCACTAACCACTACCAACCCTACAAAACTAAAACTTCTAAACTGCTGGTCACTCTTTCTTAATCTTTCTAGCCAATGATTAAATAATATTGATTTTGTTTTGTTATTTCAAATAAAAACTAACTACCATCGGTACAATGTATTTCCTAAATAAGTAGAATTTCCGCTCCGTTGCCTTGTACTGAACTCTCTTTTGAGGTTAACAAACAAGCCTTTAGTTCTGGCTGATCCGGCATGAAGGACCAAAATTTATATATAGTTTTGTTCAAGGTACGGCTCTAGGCCAGGACTTTGAACTGTAGAAAAAGGATGATAGCAGCTAGCTTACCTTGGAGAAGTGTAGGTAGGTCATAGAACATACAGAACATACCCCGGGACTTTGTCAAGTGTAGAGAAAGTATTAAGAGTTTACAAAAGGTTTTATGTTAAGAGTTAAGTCTCTCAGGGCATGAAATATTGTGTGCACAGTGTTTCTTCTGTATGTTCTGATCCACCTACACCTACTGTTGTGTAGAATTAATTCGCAAAAGTTATTTTACAATTTCATTTTTCAGGCGTCAGTCAAGGAAATCGACCAGTTGTTCAAAGCCCTGGAGTGGAGGGTAAACAACCAAAAGAAATTAGTGTCTGCTAGTGACAAGACTTCAGAGACTAACGAGAGTTAATTATTTGTTCATACGTTTATGTTGGTAAGCCGACATTGTGCCCTACTAAGGACTCTGTTAGCCATATTCTCTTGGCAAATACTTACTTGGTATTAGTGACGAAATTCCCTGTAATATAAATTATTTTTATGGTCATAACAGTGGATGATTTTTTTGCCATTGTTTGATATATTTTATATTTTTCATTAAATTAGGTGTAAAATATTAGTATTTATTTTAAGTTGTACATTTGATTATGTGATTTGATCAAGTTTCCATTTTGAATTGAACACTGTACTAGTAATAATAGGAATAAACCAATTTAAATCATTCATAAGTGTGATATCAACTATTTAAGTTCCTGCTATCCAACAGGTCCTAGTTTCCAATCTGCATTTGTTGTAAACAAATATAACAAATAGTTGGAGAAAAAGCTAAGTCTAACGGTTGTTTCCTAACTGAAAGGTAGGAGTGTTTTGTTTGCTCTAAGTAACCAAAGGGATGAACCTATTGGCATTTTATAATTGTATATAAATCAATGTAAATTTTTTAGGTTACCATATCTTGTTTTGTGTGTTTAAAGGGTGTAAAGACACGAGGAGATACATTTTGTAATTCATACAGCAAAGAGGTTGTACACTTTGTTTTGAGTTGTTACTAGGTGGCATCCCCATCTCGATTGCTAAAGACTAGATACTAAATTTTTTTCAAAATCATTCAGGCCGTATTTTTGTAAATCCAATTTCAGTAGGCTTATTATAGAAACAATTTATCATCATTATTAGGTACCATACTAATTACCTGTCATAAAATTAGTACATAAAATGGTTTTTTGATCAATACTTTATATACACATTAATTTAGTACTTGATTTATAAAAATTGAGGTGCACTGAAATAAAACCTACAAAGAGCATGGGCTATTATAATTCCCTCCACTCATAAACAAAGGTAAAATGTACAACAAAAAGCAGTAAAAAACATAGCTTCAGAAAATATTTAAAAACAAAGAAATTTCACTAGGCCTATAGTACTTAAAAAAAATGAGTTCTTACATCCCATTTATTACGAGGGCTGTCAACAAATAAGGGACTCCGATAAACTCCTAACATCACAAAGCAAGCCAAGGTCAAGTCAATAGTGCCATGTTCTTTACTTTTCTAACCCTATTTCGGCCAGTTCCCTATGCAACTTCTTTGCAAATCAGTATGTGTTCTTTGCACTCAGAAGTGAAAATCACTGCTCCCGCCAAAAAATTAATTCCTGGTTTGTAATTCTGTCCTTTTGTTCTGTGATTATTAAAATCTTGCCATCCACACCAGGGAGTATTGCATCCACAGATCATGCCAATAAATATCCACAATTTGTGACCTCCAAGTAGCTGAATTACAGGATGACGTCACGGTCCCAGTATTTTTTATTAACCAGTAATAAGCAAATAACATGACATAAAAAAAGAAACATAGCCTAAATGACATAATGTACAACCAAACAGTTAATCTGAGTAAGCTAATTCTGGTGGTAGGAAAAATCTTGCGCGTATTACAAGCACAACAGTCATTGCCGCTCTCCAAATGTATGGCTGCACTGAGCTAAAACTTTGTGCGACCATCTACAGTTCTCGAGTGGCAATTACATACTTTTCGTTATAAATACACAAACAGCTATTAATAGCAGTTAACTTTTTTAATTATAGAAATCCAATTTCAATTTATAGAACAAACAGTCTTGGCGGAAGTATGGGTTTTGAAAATTTTTATTTATTAATTAATACTGATTATCACTAGGAACTGGCCAGAATACTGGACGAGAAAGTAAAGAACACAGTTGTCTGAGTAAAATTAGCTCTGTCTCTCGCAATAGCAGGTTGATGAAAACCTTAAACTACAACAACACTCGTATTACACCAACTCAAGATTGTAATTGTTTGTGTGGTTTATCAGTCCTCTCAAAATCATTGATTTTCGTAAATTCTAAAAGTTCGTTAAGACGGTTGTCCTTGTCGAGATCGTGTAGGAAGCTGATTTCGTCTTTGGTGTTGTTACGAATGATGGAGTAAGTTTCCCCATGATGGTCTAGCTGTCTCAGCTCCCACCACAACAGTTCCGTTGCACCCTTTAAGTAATACATTTCTTCAAGGGACTCTTCTGTCCAGTTGAGAGACTTTTTTAAATTCTCATTGTCAAGCTCGATTTTCAAAAACGCTGGCCCTCCTCCGTCACAAATCTGTCTGGCGGGATCAAAAGTTGCGTTGTCCTCCCGAATGATGGATACTAAATGGACCAATTTTTCATTGTATTTATCGAGCGCACTTAAAAGTGTCGGTCCATCTTCTAATTTGGGCTGGTGGAGTATCCTCAGAATTGTTTTTTCATTTGTGTACAATGTCGAGTATAAATCGTTAAAGAAGGTTTCGCTATAGTGAGGAATCACTGAGTGAATAAAAATGGAAATTGTGACCAGTAAGCAACTTTGTGTGGAAGTTAACATTTTTCAGTTTTGAAATTATTAACCAAAACAAAACATTTGCACCATGAAGAAAATTATTATAGTAACTGGGTACCTCTCCAATAACTAGTTTATGTTGTTTGATTTGCTAAAATTGAGTTCTTCGATTTGCTTCATAACCTGTGTCAAAAAACGTGCAGCATTATTCCAACTCCTTTTGTTTTCTTCAAGTATTAAATTGATTAATTTATTTTAAAAATAAGCTAAGCAAACAGTTTGTGATAGTTGTTTACACTTACATAGTTTATCTTGATTTGAAACTATCTTGATGTAAACTTAACAGGAAAGTCAGAGAGAAGCTTGAATATAAAAACCGATGCTTTCATCGATTATCAGAAAATTACATAGATAGTATCGTAATCTTTACTGTGAATTTTATAAAACAATAAGCTTTAAAAAAATATAGGTTGCAAATTAGCTCACATTAAAGTGTTAGGTGGTGATTTTTGGTTGGTTAAGTTAGGGTACTTGACCCAAACTTATATGTTGTACTTTGCCAGTACAAAGATGTACCATGTCATTCTAGAGATGATTGCAAACATATATCATTTACATTTGGTGATCAAGTCTTTATGTTTGTTTTTTTTTTTATAAAATCTGTATTACATTGTTTAATGTTTAATATTGCAGTGGCGGCCCTAGAATTTGCTGGGCCCAAGGCAAAGTTCAATAGCCGCCCTTAATACCTCCTAATACACTTAATACCTGAAATACGGCTGTGCGGGGCCCCAGGCACCGCCTTGTTCGCTTTTATCTAGGGCAGCCTCTGTGCTTGTGTGTTAACAATTATTCACAAAATCAAAAAGTCTACCTTTGTAAAGTAATGGTCTGTGTAGCTAGTAAAAACTATTTATCTACATAAATATTTGCCACTTAAGGGACTAAACATGGACTTAGGAAATAACAAAAAGCTAAAATATAACTAAATTTAAATTAACCGCCATTGGCAAGTACTGTGCAATACTAAGATCTCCGTATGAGTCATTTGATTAGTATTCATTTCATGTAAAGCTAAACAATTGAAAAGTTCGATCCTGCCTGAGATTTCTGTAGCTTTATGATTTTTTTAAAATTTGGGACCCATCACTCCTTGGTTGTTGGGATTTTGTTCTTGCTATGAGGATCTTTCAGAATAAATGTGCCTGAAATATTTTTTTCAGAATATAAAGATTGTTAATAAAATATGTATGGAATCTTATACCAGTTTGGGTACGCAATTTCAAGAAAGTTGTGTAAACAAGAACAGTTATGTTCATTAACATTTCATCATTTAAGTTGAAAAGAGACTACAGAACTTTCCTATTATTTGTTTTGTCCTATAATCTGGAAGAAGTAAAAAGCTGCACTCCCAAAAATGACCTTACCTTTAGTAATGTGTTGCATTGTCTAATTTGATGAGCCATCTACCAGATACTAATTTTGTATTACGTCCTTTTACAATATTACATCACAGTTTAAGTACAAATTTAGACTTTCATCTTTTAAAAACCTTATATAGTATTGCTGGCAACTATTCTCAATAGTTATTTGTGTAACTAGTGTTCGAAGTGACACTTTTGCGCTCACATTACACTTTATGTTTTTCCTTCACTTACTCATGCAAGTAAAGCATGTAAATAATTAGTCTTCCAAACACTATACAACATGTTTTTTTAGGTTAGGTTGAATCCAAGTGTTGAACGAAATTGGAAACACTGCACCAGCTTAACGTAGTCGTGAAAGTGTTGCCAACTTATTTTCAAACGTACACGCATTACTTGCCTAATAAAGTACACTGTTTAGTGTTGTTTGGTTGGAATACTAAAATGGGGCAAAAAAAGGGAGCGGCAAAAAAGTAAGTGTGGCAAAAGTAAGTAAATGCAGCAATAAGCTACTTTGCGTGCTATAATCTATTGCAAGGAAACCCACTTTGTCAGGCAACTGTAGGAAAATGTTTTTGTTGCCAGGAGTACCGAATTATTGTAAAATACCTTATTCATGAAACATTATCACTTTTTTATCTTTTGAATTGTTTAATTTTATGTTTAGTGCATTGATCCCGTTTTACATGTTAACAGATTCTTATCATTTCACAAAGTTTTGTTTCCAATATAATTTTTTCGTGCTTCTTGCACATGGGAAGTGTACAATGATGCTTGCATAAGCACCAACAGGTTTTATGTTGGTAGTAGTTAAAATATTTCTGTAAATTAACACTTGTGTTTCGAATTCTTAGCTTTTAAAAGTTTATAACAATCAGTTTTGCACAAACTTAAACAGAAACAGCAGAATGATCAACTTTCAAAGTCTTTTTTACCAGTTTTCGAACCTTTGGAAGATGTACTCAATAGGAAATTTCTATCAAAACGCAATAATTACAAAGTATTAAAAAATGAAAATAGAAATAAATAAATTTGTTGAATTTTAAATTAGTTTAACCTACTGTTTTGACTTTTCATAAAATCGATCTTCTAAGTTTGTTCCAAGCTTCTTCGGCCTGCAGTTGCATTTTTTCAAGATGTTTTATGTCTTCATCGGTCCAGTCAAACTCTCTCTTGATCGGTGTAGTGTTTTCCTCGTTGTAGAGAGGAATACGTGACAAAGTAGGCCCACCGGTGTTGTAGAAGATAAGAGTTGCCGCTCTGATTGCATAATCCGCTTCTTCATTACCATAAACGAACATGGTTCTCGCTTTTCTCATACAGTGAGTGAGAATTTCCAATTTGTCGAGAAGTTCTTTACCGTTCCCTTTTGTCGGATCGACCATAACATTGTAGATATAACTGTCCAAATCTAACATTGTCGTAGAGTTACGAAGGTCTACTTCATCTGCCCGTTGATATTCGTTATCTTGCGGGTCTTGAAACACCGGTGTCTCTCCGAGAACTAACCAAGCATTGTGTAGAATCCATGCTGTGTGTAGAACACTTGTGAATGATGGAGCGTTCATAACAGTTTGATTAAGATTGTGCTTGGAAGGTAAAGGTGTTGTCAGTAAGTGTTGTAATTAGCAGATACAGATTTGATAATGAGAGTGACAAGCAAGTTGATAACAGCATCATTGATTAAGACTATCTGTGACATCTTATTGAGTTTAAAACCCATTTTTTAGCTTCTGAGCTGTCGGATATAATGTGAGATTAAATTATGTGCGCCGTTCTGTTAGCCAGCTTACAATATCTATGTTTAGGAAATGTTTGGTGCAATCCCCATTGATTTGTGGTACAACTTTATAAAAAATAAAATCCAAGGAAACTTTATTTTTACAGGCATAAATACAGTAGTTTATTCACAATGGTATTGAAATATGTATTGAAAAGTTTAGTCACCTCTACATGATTTACCTGACACACTAGACTTTTTCTACTTCATAAACTTATCAATATCCAGTTTCATGCTTGTAAAAACATTAATATTTAGTTTTACGCT